ATCGAGCCCCCCATCCAGAAACTCTTACAACTCACCGAATGGTGTGATCTAATAGTGGGTGGGACACTGGCTGTCAGGACTCCTGGGTTCTGTTCCACCTGTGTCACGGTGCTGGCAGGGGTGGGGGGTTGTAGGGCTTGGTCAATAACTGGTCACAGATGGCACCATGGGTGAAAGGAGCCAGAGGAATGTGACACATGAAAGCAAACAATGAACAAAGCCATGTCATCCCTCATGTCTCAGTAGGCCCTGCTAACCTGCCCCCTATGGCCAGGCATACACCGGACAAATATTGTTACCTGTGGCAACGGGGTTTCACTGGAATCCAGATTCACCCCACGCTAGTCCAGCGGTGCTGAGTCACGCGACACAAGGTGCTTTGCCTAATAATAACGGTCCCTTCTCCCAGCGTGTACTTTGGCTAATTTCTCTTCCCCGTATGCTGTCTGTCTGCAGCCCTCTGGCCCAGGGCTAGCTGTGCCTTAGCACTGCTTATGGGATCCCAGTATTAACAGCTCCTGCGCTCCACCCCAGAGATGGCTGCATTTCAGCACTAGGCAGAGGAGCCCTTTATAAAAAGCTGCCCCACCCTGCTGCAGAGGTGGCTGCATTTCAGTGCTGGACAAGTGATTCCTATATAAACAGCTGCTGTGCCCCACTCCAGAGGTGGTTGCATTTCAGTGCTGGGCAAGTGATCACTGTATAAACAACTGTCGTCCCATCTCATAGTGGCTGCATTTCAGCAGAGGGTGTCTCTGAAAATAGCTACCATGCCCCACCCCAGACACGGCTGCATTTCAGCGCTGGGTGAGTGATTCCTATATAAACAGCTGCTGTCCCACGCTCCAGACATGGCTGCATTTCAGTGCTGGGGGAGCAATCCTTGTATAAACACCTGCTCTGCTCTTCCCAGAGGTGGCTGCATATCAGTGTGGGAAGAGTGACCCCTGGACAAACAGTTACACCTCACCTCAGAGGCAGCTACATTTCATGCATGATCCTTGTACTAGCAGTATCCGTGTGGTGCCCCAAAAGTGGGTGCATCTCAGCACCAGGTGAGGGATCCCTGCTGTGCCCCACCCCAGAGGTGGCTGCATCTCAGTGCTGGATGCAGTGAATCTTCTGTGCCTAGTTTGCAAAGCACAGTGACAAAAAGTGCTACAGAACTGCAAAGAGAGCATTGTTAATTAGCTCTGGCCACGCTGGAGCGAACAGGCACCTACCCAAGACGGGCTCACGCCGATGGACAACCCAGCAACAGAAAGAAGAGGCTCAACTCCCAGCCTTCACAGCCCAGGGGGACAAAATCAGTTCTTCGACAGCTGTTTGGTGACCTGACCACGCCTCTCACCCATGGAGCGGGGAGAAGAACGGCAGATCCAGCAGGCTGTGTTCGGCTCCTTCCCCTACCCCTGCCTGCATGGGAAGGGAAAGGCCCGCAGAGCAGGGCTATCTAGCACGCACAGGTGCCCTTGGCTGGAAGCCCTTAAAATCCCTTTTCCTTGCTATGTTGCTGCAATAGGCAACAGGGACTGAAGCTTGAGCTAAAGGGCTGAGTCCCCCCCCCCCCCCATCCCCCGGGTCCCAGGCTATGAAATCCCCTGGTGGATCAGCCCAATGGGCTACACGGCCAGGGAGCTCCCTTGCCCCCAGCTGTTAGGCAGGACAACTCAGCGGGATGGGCCCTGCTGGGCAGGTGGGAAGCATGACAGGACCGGAGCACGAAGGGCTGGTCTAGTGGCTGGGGCATGGGCATAGCCGAGTGAAAAGCACTTACACCGTCCCCCTGGGACATGCACATGGCTCCCTGCTCCGCCTTGGGTCTGCTTCTTCTTTCTGCTCTCTGGTCCACAGGGCAGAGAAGCGTCTTGAAGCTAAGCTTGGGGCGGGGAGGGGGCACGCCTTCTCATGCCCCTCCCGCTCAGCGCAAGGGGCAAGGAGAGGCCGAGACTTGCCCGTCTGACCCGTCCTGCTGAGCTTGTACAGGAAGGGCTGCCAGAGCGCACAGCCCGCCCTACAAAGTCCAAGGAGGCGCGCGGGAGGCCGGATGGAGGAGCGGCTGCATTCCAGGCACTGTGGTTCCGCTTCCCCCGGGGGAGGGGAGAGGGCTTGTAGCTTGGCAAACTGGAGAAATTAGTACGCTTGGCACCGTCGGTTCCCAGACAAGGTGTCATTCTCCCAGTGGGGAAACTGAGGCACGGCAAGAGGGCGGGGGGAGAGACTTGTCCAGAACGGCAATGGCACAGCTGGGAAAGAAACCCAGGAGTCCTGGCTCCCAAATTCCTACCTCCATGAAACACTCTTCCCCCTAGGGCCGAAGACGGAACGGAGGAGTCCTGACACCAAGCCCCCAACTACTCAACCACGCTGCCCTCCCCAGAAGCAGGAGTAGAACCCAGGAGTCCTGATGCCCGGCTCCCCGGCTCCTTGCTCAGGGCTCACCTCCTGCACTTTTCCCCTCTCTCAGGGATACCTCGCTGACTCCCATCAGCCCCTAGACACGCACGGCTCCCTGCTCCGTCTTCCTTCCACATAGTTCCAGGGCTGTCATTCCAGGGAGGGCAGGAGCCATGGTCAAACCCCCGCCCCCATCCCGTCCGGTCCCGTCTGGTAGCAGACTCCTTCCCTGCTTAGAAGCCTTGAGGCTTGATATGGTATTACTGCTACCACCTATTAGGTGTATTACAGTAGCAGCTAGACGTCCCAGCTGAGATCAGATCCCCTTTACATAGGGTGTGGCACAAACCCCATGTACGTCTACACTGCACTGTACCTCTGGTCTCAGGTTTGAACCCAAGCTCCCCCCCCCCCATCCACACACAGATCAGCCTGGCTGCGATCATCGAGCACTTCAGGAGCAGGGTCCTCCTAGGGCCTTCGGAGACTTGGGTCCAAACCCCGTCCTTTTGCAGTGTGGCTGCACCTCACGCCACAGGCCCAAGTCAGCAGCTCATGGACGCGTGAGCACGGCTGGGAGACCCGGGTCCAGCAATTGTAAGCCCAGGTTGACAGTGCAGGTGGCTGCTCAGGAGACCCACCGAGTCCCCAGGCGCAGGGTTTACGACGCAGTACAGCCAGACACGAAGGCCCCGTCTACACTAGCGCTTACTTCGGAATGACTTACGTTGCTGAATAATCCACACCCCTGAGCAACAGTAACGAGGAGTCTGGTGGCACCTTAAAAGAGAAACCTATTGATTTGGGCATAAGCTTTCGTGGGTAAAAAACCCACTTCTTCAGATGCATGGAGTGAAAATTACAGACACAGGCATAAATATATATTGGCACATGAAGAGAAGGGAGTTACCTTACAAATCTATAGATTTATATACATATAAATATATATCTATTTATGCTTGTATCTGAAGAAGTGGGGTTTTTTACCCACGAAAGCTTATGCTCAAATAAATCCGTTCGTCTTTAAGGTGCCACCGGACTCCTCGTCGTTTTTGTGGATACAGACTAACACGGCTCCCCCTGAGCAATGTAAGTTACACCGACCTATGTGCAGCTGTGGCCAGGGTCGGCAGCCGAGCTCCTCCAGCTGCCATCCTGCTGCCTCTTCACCAGACAGGCGACAGCCGCACGAGAGGCCAGGCTCAGCAGCCACGGCAGACTTGGCTCCCCGAGGGGGGAGTGCCACGCTCGCAGCTTGGGGCAGGGACCAGCTCGGTTCTGTGTCCGTCCCGTAATACACCTAACAGCAATAAAAATGTACAGCGCCTAGCACAACGATATCCTGGTCTGTGCCTAGATGCTACCCTAATACTCCTAATAGCAGTACAAATGTACAGCACCTGGCACAATGGGGCCTGGGCCACGACTCAGGCTCCTAGGCAGGCCACCTCATACCAAATAATGGCAACAGTCCCGAAGCAACAGCCCGACAAACGGCACTAACTGGGGCTGCAGCAAGAGAGCACAAGAGTGTTTTGCTCGGCGGCCGAGGAGGTGCCTGGACGAACAGTGATAGCCCAGCGTGACGGCTGCAGCACCGGGAACCGAACCGGGGACCTCCAGAGCTGACAGCGCCGTAGTTAGGGGACTGTATCAACGCACCTCATGGGGGAATTGGCACAGCAGGGGACCTGCCCCATGCACCCCTGGGTGACACAAGCCCATTCAAACAGCTCACCCTCGCAGAGCTGGGCCGGGAACCCAGCTCACCCCCCACGCCCAGCCACCACCCAGAGGGCACTTTCCCCACGCTATACGCTCCGTAGAACAAGCCAAGGGGGAATCACAGTTTTGCCACCTGATGGTCGTTGAGGGTGGTAGTTGGATGTCTGCTCATCCCCATGCAACCCGATGGGCTGGGGGGGTCGGGGGTGAATTCCCAGCACTGGGGATTGAACCTTTGACCTCCAGGCAGGCAGAGCCAGAGGCAACGCCAGCAACCTGAAGGGTATGGCAGAGTCTGGTCACTAGAGGGGGGCAGAGAGCCACATGGTAGGTAACAGAAGAGCTGCAATATGATCCCCCCTTCTCATGACACCTCCTCCCTCCATCCTGGGGGGACCATGCCGCTTTCAGGGCCACGGGGCAGCCAGTCCCAGGGCAGTGGTGGTTTGCAGAGACGCCTCCTTCGGCAGGAGCCACGCCGCGGGGCGTCAAGCAGCTGCCACGTTCTTGGTCGCTGCCCCACTGGAGCTGGGATCGAGGTGCAAAGCCCCGTGTCCCACTCCCCAAGCCAGCCAGGCCGGAGCCAGTACCCCCTAAAGGGGAAAGGCCCCATGCGCCATTCCTCAACCTCCTGAGCCAGCCAGTCCCCCCTGCCCTTGGGGCCAGGTGGGAACCAGTGCCCCCTAGAGGGGAAAGGCCCCGTGCCCCATTCCCTAACGCCCCCAAGCCAGCCAGCTCCCCGCACCAGGGAGGCCGGGCTGCAGGCAGTGCCCCAGTCCCCTGCTATCAGCCTGGTTTTAAGAGTGTATTGGGTTTGTTTGTTTTTAAAATGACCTTCATGTCAAAGCAAAAAATTATCCGTACACCAAGATCTGCGCTGTGGGTTTATTTAACCGTGTCATGTCACTGTAGGCAGAGCTACGCAGCTGAGGGGTGTGTATAGGAAGAAGGCTCGGATCATCGGGACAGCAGTCACGGGGCTAACACAGGGGATTAGGCGCCTAGAATCCACCCGACAGTTTAGTAAACCTGGCCACTCATTTTGGGTGCCCAACCTGGGCTAGATTTTCAGAAGCCTTAAGCACTCTCAGCTCCCCTTGGCTTTAACCAACCCAGCATGGGACCCAGGAGTCCAGGCTGCCCAATGTTAGCGGTGAGAGTAATTACTCACTGGAGCCTGGTGGATTCTCCGGCACGGGCACGTTTAAAATCAAGCTGGGATGTTTTGCTCTGCTCTGGGAAGCGTTTTGGGGCCATTCTCTGCCCTGTGTTATAAAGGTCAGACTAGATGATCACAATGGGCACTTTTGGCCTTGGAATCTATAAATTCCCCTGCTTTAACCACTAGATTACTTCCTTCTTCCCAGAGCCAGGAACAGAACCCAGGATTCCTGACACCCATTCCCCCGTCCTTTAACTACTAGGCACCACTCCTCTCCCATAGCCAAAAATAGCACCCAGAAGCCCCACCCTGCAGCTTCCCCCACTCTAACCACTACATCACACTCCCTCCCAGAGCTGGGACTAGAACCCAGGAGTCCTGACACCCAATCGCCCGGCTCTAACCGCTGCATGACACTTCCTCCCAGAGCTGGGACTAGAACCCAGGAGTCCTGGGCCGTGCCCCCAGTCATTCAAAATCAGCAGCCCCTTTTGGAAGATTTGGGAGCTCAGCACGGAGTGTCCCGACACGCTGAATGCTTCAGCCCTCAACTTTTTTCGCGATCCCTGCGACGGCTGTTGAGAAAGCCGCTGTTTGGGGGCCATGGAGAACCCAGGTCCGCAAGACAGCAGCAGAAAAAAAGAAAGAAAGAAAGAAAGAAAGGCCCTGGTGCAGACCAGAGGGAGCGCTGAAAGGCGACCTGCCCAGGAATAGACAAGACTGGATCTGTGCCCTCTTCTGTCTGTCTCAGGCCTGGTCTGTAGAGAAAGGCGGCCTGCTTTAGCGATCCCGAGCCAATTCAAGTGGATCAGCGGGGACCCAGCTACTTCAGTATAAATACGCTTACGCTGTAGCAAAGCGGTCGTGATAGGGTTAACTAGGTTGCCCAGAGTATTATGGGCTGGAGCCATGCTCTACCCTTCCCCCCCTCCCCTTCCTTCCGGCACCCTCTAGAGGTTAGGTTAAGGCATGACCCTAGGATATGGGAATCCTGCATCCCTTTTCTGGCTCCCCTGCAACCTCCCTGTAAAACCTTGGCGAGAGTCCAAGGGAGCTTCCAGCCACTCGGCCAGCGTGCACGCTCTCTTGTGATGCAGGGAAGTGACGCAGCCCATTCCCAGCCTTCAGGCCCCTGAGTGGACGTATTTTCCCTCGCAATTTGCAAAACCAGGGATGAGGCAAACTGCAAGGAGCACGCCTGAGGGGGAAATCGAGGCGCTTCCTGCAGAAAACGAGGATTAGCAGCAACCATTCCATCGGCTATTGCCTTGCAAATGAGATTTGGGCAGAGAAGCCGTTTTCCCGGCAATCAAACCTCCAGAAGTTTGTCACCAGCTCAGAAAGCAGGAGGGAAACGCTGGGAAGGCGGGCGCACAAGGCATCAAAACTGCAGAACGTTCCAGGTTTCATCGCAGGACGAGGGGAGACGTGGCCACGTGGCCGAGGCTGGGCAAAAAGCAGGAGCTGAATATTGCTTGCTTGGCGGTGGCCTAGAGGCCAGGACAGATGTGGGGGGCGGGGGTTGTTAATCAAGGATGATCGCTGGCAGAAGGGAAGAACCTGGCCCAAAGCAGGAGAATTAGCACCAGCCCTGGATGCTGCCGTGAGAAACTGACAGGAGTTGCTCTCAGACGGCAGGGGCAGAAATCAAAACGTCTGCCCGCAAACACGGAAGTTGCTGCTTTATTTAAGGGCATCGCAAGAGAGTTGGAGGGATGACGGCGAAAAAGGGAGGGTAAGCCCATAATACCCCGGGGAACCCAATTAACTGGGGCTCCAAGGCGCGACCGTAATACATGCAATAGCAATAAAGATGTACAGCGCCTGGCACAGTGGGGGCCTGGTCCATGGCTAGGGCTCCTAGGGCCTTCCATAGTACAAATGGAGGGAGGGATAGCTCAGTGGTTTGAGCATTGGTCTGCTAAACCCAGGGTTGTGAGTTCAATCCTTGAGGGGGCCATTTAGGGATTGGGGGCAAAAATTGGGGATTGGTCCTGCTTTGAGCAGGGGGTTGGACTAGATACCTCCTGAGGTCCCTTCCAACCCTGATATTCTATGATTCTATGAAATAATAAATAATCACTGAGGTGGGTTTGCACTCATTTAACTAAGTTGGCTTTGAATTTTGGGGGCGGGGGGTTTAGTTAAATTGGTGCCATTTTTGCGCCTAGACCAGCCCCAGGGCTAGTTCTCCATCGAGTCCTGCAGGGTAGGTTGCCAGGTCAACATTTCTCCTGTAAAAGCTCGCTTTATTGCCACTACAAACTGAGATCAGGGCCCCCTGGGAGACTGCCCCTGCTCCAGACAGCTTCCAGTCTAACTGGACAAAGGCACAGTTATTGTACAGATCGAGGGGGACCCAGGCCTAGAAAGATGATGTAACTTGCCAAAGGTCACACAGGGAAGCTGTAGCGGAGGTGGGGAGTGACCCTTGATCTCCTGCATCCCCCACCAATGCTTTAACCACAAGGTAAGGCTACTTCTGTCCTATTGCCCCCGTCTCTGAGGTCCACGTGATTTCATGGCCCTCCTCCAGCATCAGTTTTATACCGGCACCCAGCACAGGGCCATCAACCAGGTTTGAACCTGACCAGATTGTCTCATTCTTTCCTTGTACTCCCCTTGTACAGCTGTCTCTACCTCGTCTCACTGGTCTTATGCCTAGCACGGGCCTCCACCACTCAAGCTAACAGAGTCGCTCCCGGAGCTGGCAGCGGTAGCAGACTGTTACCAGCTCGCAAGAAGGCTGGGGCGGACCAAGTTTAATTTCTCTGGGTGTCTTGATCCATTGGAAAGAAGCAGAACGGGGGGAGGGCCCACACCCCAATTTCATTTCCCTTTGCGAGTCACCTTTAACACCGCCGCGCTGCACACGCGGGGGATGTTTAACTCCTTCCCCGCCGCTGCTAGATGGGCCGGATGGATAACAGTCCATATATTGAAATCAAGGCCCTCACGCCAGTCTCTAAAGCCCACTCCTGTTCTCAGCCTCTTTTCTCTTCCAGGAAGCCCACCCAGAACTGCCTATGCCCAAAGTAGAGGGGGTTCAGCGATAGTTTACTGCCTCTACCTGCTGCAGCGACCCCATGGGGACCCCGGCTGCACAGATGGGGCCTCTGACCAGCAGCAAAAATCCAGCTTCTGTGCTCCGGTCAGCTGGAATCACAGCCAGTGAAAGTCACAAGCAAGGGCAGTTCCTTGTGCACAGGGGGGATGGAGAGATCCTATGGGAATATCACAGCAAGCCAAGCCAACCGCGGCACCGCCCGCTCTCGATCCTATATTCTGTTCAGGATGGATCCAGTCCCGGGTTTCCTCAAGGCCAGGGATTGGATGCTGCCCGATTTCTCCTCTTCCTTGTAGTACCCCCGTTTCATCGCGGCCGTCAGGTACTTGAACAGACTCTGCCAGGGGAGGGGAGAGAGAACGCACAAGGGGTGAAGCAGGCCTGGCAGGGCGGCTGGTTCGGGCATGGTCACCTTGGGGCCAGGGAGGTGCCTTTTGCCCCTCCCTGTGACATCCCACTCAAATCTGGCTAAGTTAGAAGCCTTTGGGGGAGGTAGGGGGGAATCTCAGTTTGCACATGCTCAGTAGAGACTGGTTAGAGTTTGGCAACTAAATTCTCCAAAGATTCCGTCTGCACTTAGCATGCTCCAGCCCAAGGCTGCAGGGGCTGAGCAGAACAGTCTGTCTGCGTGATCTGTATCGTAAAACGTACACGCGAGGGGGCCGAACCTCGCCCCCTTTGCACTCCCTGAATACACCCTGCAGGGGCTAGCCCAGTCCCCAGTTAGAGCAACTTGAGGGCTGTTCTAAGTCATGCTCAGTCCCCCTTGGGTCCTGGGGGGCAGCGAATAGCCACAGTGCAGTGCACTCCAGCCACACCCCTGATCCGCCCCCTCCGGGCCCTGGGGGGCAGCGAATAGCCACAGCGCAGGGCACTCCGGCCACGCCCCCGATCTGCCCCTTGTGGGCCCTGGGGAGGCCTGTACGGGGTGGACTATTTCAATCCACATCAAGGCCCCTGGATGCAGCCAGAAGAGCCTGAGTGTTGCTGAGAATCGGGCTCCAAACCCATTACTAGACCAACCAGGAGGGCCAAGCCCCCCCCATAAGCCCCAAAGAGGCCTCGTCTAGCTCCCATCCTGCTGCAGCTGACGGCGGGAGCCCCACAGAAAGGGATCGGGGAAGGATGAAGGGGTCCAGCCCACCCAGGCGTGTACGGGAGCTCTGCCAGCAGCAGCACGGGAGACGGCCAGCTGCGGAGCTGCTCCCTACCTGCCAGGCCTCCTCCACTTCCGGCGTCCAGCGCTCCTTGAGGATGGGCTGCACCGTGCTGATGAACTGGATGCCCACGTACTGGAAACAGAGAGCCAAGGCAGGGTCAGAGGGAGGCGCCAGCCCCAGCCCTTCCCTGCCCGGGCTACAGATGGACCTGTGGCAAATACAGACCGGTCCGGACGTGGCTGGGCGCTGCCGAGAACACAGATCTCTCCCGGCCCAGCCAGCTGGTGGACCGATCACGCTGCACAGCTGTGTTTGCAGCCGTGCATGCAGGGGAAAGCAGTCCATAGTGGCGAATTGGGGGAGAAGGCGGAAGCAGTTCACACTGGGATGTGCTGGGAAAAGCAGTTTGCACCAGCGGATTGTGGGGAAATCAGTTCGCACCAGGGTATCCTGGGATTGGGAAAATTGGTTCGTCCTGGTGAATGGTGGGAAACGCCATTTGCCCTGGAGCATGGTGGCGGGGAAAAAAGCAGTGGGTACCAATGCATGCTGGGGAAATCAGTTCCAACTGGTGAACTGTGGGGGGAAAGTGGTTTGTACTGGAGTATGCTGGGAAAAGCAGTTCGTCCTCGTGAACTATGGGAAAAGCGGTTCATACTGGAGCATGCTGGGGGGAAAAGAGCCGTTTGCACAAGTGCATGCTGGGAAAAAGGATATTTCTACTCATGTATGCTGGGAAAAACGCACTGTGTACCAGTGCATGCTGGGATAATTGCTTTGTACGGGAAGGTGCTGGGAAAAATCGCTCCCAGCCTGCCACCATGGTGCAATGCACTCTGGGATACCCTCCTGCACAGACCCTGGTTCCAAACACCATGGGGGTCAGCAGATCCCACAGGAGCTCCCCGACCCCCGCAGAATGGGGAGGTCCACCCCCTCCCCTGCAGCCGGGTCCCTGGGGTGCTCACCTCATAGTACTTGGGAGGGGCATTGTATCTATAGTGACTCCTGCCAAGCTCAAAGGCCAGCTGTTCCAGCTTGTCCTCTTGGTCCAGCCGGGCCACGCTTTTCTCGATGAAGGACATCACCCTGGGGTGGGGGAGAATCAAGCATTGGATCGGGGGGCGTGGCTGCATCGCACTGGACTGTGGCTAGTCCCTGCTTCCCACGGGGCAGAGCGGTAGGCGGGAGATGTGCCATACGCTGCCAACATCCAGCCTTCTAGCCTGCCAAAGCTGGCTGCTTCAGGTGGGAGCCCATCTTGCACCGGGAGAAATTCCTTCCTGACCCCCTCCAGCACCAATGCCCTGGTGCATGAACATGGAGAACCCTCAGGCCCCATGTCCAGAGGCCCCAAGCCTTGGCAGGTCCCACTGGCTGCACAGTGAGTTGTGAGTGCTCAGCACCGCTGTAAAGCAAGCCCCTGGCACAGGTCCAGCTTCCCCAGAGTCGACCCAGCTTAGGAACGTTCTTTGGCAGGCAGTTCCATAGGCTAACAAGGGCTGGTCTGCAGACGCAGGGCCTTGTTCTTCAGACAATAATAATATCGGCCTAGCAAATTAACTGACTAACCAGCTCCCCCTCCCAACCCCCCCCAAATCTCCCCCAAGCCCCCACAGTTCTGCTCCCAGCCCCCCAAAGCTCCCCCAGCTCCTCTCCAACCTTCTTCCCATGCCCACCACCCCATACCATGGTTGGGTACTCCTTATGGGACTGACTCCAGCCCTGACCCTCCCCGTCTCGGACCACTCCCATTTCCATAGCATGATTACTTTACCTTTCAAAGCCGGGTCTGGTGGGAGAGCCCACCCTCGTTTTGGGGAGCAGCTCCCCTTCCCATGTTAGCCAGCATGGGGAGATGAGATGCTTCTCCCCCACCCAGATCCAGGAACAAACCCAGGAGTCCTGGTTCCCAGCCTCTCTCCTGCTCTAACCACTAGATCCCACTTTCCTCCCCTCGGCGATCCTGGAATAGAACCCAGGAGTCCTGATTCCTGTCACTCAGCCACTTGCATTAGCCTTGTGACTCAAGGGCCGTGCCGCGCCCTCATGGACCCAGGAGCTCGGGCCTGGCGTGGTAGCGGGTTCCACGGCACCCCCCCCCAGGGACCCACCTCAGGCCATGGGCTCGCAGCTCCTTGTTCATCTTGAGCTGCTGCAGGTCCTCGATGTCCCGGAAGAGGAAGAAGACATCTTTGCACTCGGGGTGGGTCTCGAATAACCTGAGCGGGGGAGGGGAGGCAGACTTAGGGGGATCGGGCGCTAGCCGTTTAACTGGGTCTTTTTGGACCACAGGGCAGCTGGGCGAAGTGCACGGGCGCGACCCCTAGGGGTCGTGCCAAAACAACACTCTGCCGCGTATACTGCCCCTCCCCGCCCCACAGCACATTGCAATGGAGGGAGCCGTCCACCTGCCTGTGTAGACGGCAACATGGGAAGTGACTTGACCTCAGTAGGGACCAGGAGAGAACCCAGGAATCCTGACTCAGTGCCCCTCTGTAACTGGCAGAGCAGCCCTCCCCTTCCAGGAGTGGAACCCAGGAGTCCTGGCTCCCTGCCCCCCCCCAACCACTGGACCCCACTTCCCCCCCCCCTCCACAGAGCCAGGAGTGGAACCCAGGAGTCCTGGCTCCCAGCCCCCCTGCTGTAACCACTAGACCCCACTCCCCTCCCAGAGCCAGGAGTGGAACCCAGGAGTCCTGGCTCCTGGGCCAATTCTCAGGGTTCAGACCACACACCTTTTCACAGGGTTTGGTGAGATTCTGGAATTCCCTTTTATCATTCATCACCCATTACTGTCATGTCTAGAGGTGCCAAGCAAGGCCGGGGCCCCACTGTGCCAGGCAGTGCCCAGACCTCAGTTACTGTGTGTTTGTGTGGGCAGCACCTGGCACGATGGGGCCCTGATCTCGGTCACTGCGTGTCTGGGCAGCGCCCGGCGCGACGGGGCCCCGATCTCGGTCACTGTGTGTCTGGGCAGCGCCCGGCCCGACGGGGCCCCGATCTCAGTCACTGTGTGTCTGGGCAGCGCCTGGCCCAACGGGGCCCCGATCTCAGTCACTGTGTGTCTGGGCAGCGCCCGGCCCGATGGGGGCCCCCGATCTCAGTCACTGTGTGTCTGGGCAGCGCCCGGCCCGACGGGGCCCCGATCTTGGTCACTCTGTGTCTGGGCAGCGCCCGGCGCGACGGGGCCCCAATCTCGGTCACTGTGTGTCTGGGCAGCGCCAGGCCCGACGGGGCCCCGATCTCCGTCACTGTGTGTCTGGGCGGCGCCCGGCCCGATGGGGCCCCGATCTTGGTCACTGTGTGTCTGGGCAGCGTCTGGCCCGACGGGGGCCCCGATCTCGGTCACTGTGTGTCTGGGCAGCGCCCGGCGCGATGGGGCCCCGATCTCGGTCACTGTGTGTCTGGGCAGCGTCTGGCCCGACGGGGGCCCCGATCTCGGTCACTGTGTGACTGGGCAGCGCCCGGCGCGACGGGGCCCCGATCTCGGTCACTGTGTGTCTGGGCAGCGCCCGGCCCAACGGGGCCCCGATCTCGGGAACTGCGTGTCTGGGCAGCGCCCGGCCCGACGGGGCCCCGATCTCAGGTGCAGCCTGTGGGTGCGACCATAATTCACTAACCCTAATGTAGACAGACTGGATAAGAAGTCTCCTGTCTTTTGCGGAGCCCAAGAGAAACAAATGTTCAGCTGGGCTAACGCTCTGAACGAACAGCTTGGGTGGACGCTCTGCAAGCATCCGTGCTAAATATAGTGCTCTTGGGAGAGTGATTGTTCTGCACAGGGGAGCTCTGGGGAGAGCCATCTGTCAGCCCCTCGCCCCATGCGGCACGGAGGGGGAGGAGACCAGGTTCAGCGCACTTGTGCCCAGTGGAGGGCAGCAGCAAATTCCAGCCAGTGGTGCCACCGACTGCAAGGCTTGTTGGCTTTTGCAGGCTAAGCAGGGTCTGGACTGATCAGTATCAGAGAAATGTCCGGCAGGAAGGGACCTCCGGAGGTCGTCAGGTCCAGCCCCCTGTGCTGGGGCCGGACCAAGTAAACCTAGACCAGCCCCGACCGGGGTTTGTCCATCCAGTTCTGAAAAAGCTCCAGTGACGGGGATCCCACGACCTCCTTTGGGAGCCTGCTCCGGAGCGTCACTCCCCGGAGAGTTAGAGAGTTGCTCCTAATATCTCAACTAAATGTCCCTTGCGGTAGATTACACCCATTGCTTCTTGTCCTGCCTTCAGCAGACATGGAGAACAGCTGATCCTCGTCCTCTTTACAACACGCGTAACGTATCAGACGACTGTTCTCAGGCCCCCCCTCAGTCTGCTTTGCTCCAGACTAAACCTACCCACTTCTTTTAACCTCTCCTCCTAGGGCAGGTTTGCTAAACCTTGGATTCTTTTTGTGGCTCTCCTCTGGGATCTCTCCAGTTTGCCCACGTCTCTCCTAAAGCGTGGCGCCCAGAACTGGACACTGCGCTCCAGCTGAGGCCTTCCCAGTGCCGAGTAGAGCAGGACAATGACCTCCGTGTTTTACATACGACACTCCTGATAACACACCCAGAATGTTACTTGCCTTTTTTGCAACTGCATCACATTGTTGACTCATATTCAGTTTGTGATCTACTCGAACGACCAGATCCTTTTCGGCAGTACAACCCCCTAACCGGTTGTTCCCCATTTTGCATTTGATTTTTCCTTCCTAAGTGACGTACTTTGCACTTGTCTTTATTGAATTTCATCATGTTCATTTCAGACCAATTCTCCAATTTATCCTGGTAGTTTTGAACTCTAATCCTGCCCTCCACAATGCTAACAACCCCTCCCAGGTCAGTTGCATCCACAGATTTTATAAGCGCACTCTCCACTCCATTATCCAAGTCATTGAGGAAAACATTGACCGGTACTGGGCCCAGGACTGACCCCTGCAGGACCCCACTACATACGCCCTCCCAATCTGACAGTGAACCATTGATAACTCCTCTTTGAGTTTGGCCTTTCAATCAGTTGTGCGACCACCATATAGTGATTTCATCTAGGCCACATTTTCCTAATTTGCTTATGACACCATCATGTGGGACTGTGTCAATAGCCTTAGTTAAATCAAGCTATATCCCGTCTACCGCTTCCCCCTCATCCACTTGGCCAGCAACCCGGTCAAAGAAGGAAATTAGGTTGTTTTGGGATGATTTGTTTTTGACAAAGCCAGGCTGGTTATTCCTTATCACCCCATTATCCTCTAGGTGCTTATGAACTGATTTTTTAATAATTTGCTCCAGTATCTTTCTGAGTATCAGAGTTCGGCTGGCTGGTCTGTAATTCCCCTGGTCCTATTTGGACCCCTTTTTTAGTACTCTGTTTGCCCTTCTCCAGTCCTCTGGGACTCCCGTCCACCAGAAGTTCTCAAAGATAATCACTAATAGTTCTGAGATTGCTTCAGATAGTCCCTTAAGTCCCCTCCGGTGAATTTCATCAGAGGCTTGAATACATCCAACTTCTTTAAATAGTCCTTAACCAGTTCTTTCCCTAGTGTGGCTTGCGTTCCTTCCCCTAGTTGGTAATATTAATCATGTAGAGTCTCTGGCCACCATTAGTGAAGACTGAAGCAAAATAGGCATTAAACACCTTGGCCGCCTTCCCTGCTAAGTAAAGCACCTACACTTGCCTTCTTCTTCCTCTTAATGTATTTAAACAACCTCTTCTTATGGCCTTTCGTGTCCCTTGCAAGGTTTAACTCATTTCGTTGCCCTTCCGATTTGTTCCCTGCATGTTTGTCCCTATTCTGCTGTTCTGCTTAGCAATGAATTCATCCATGTGTCCACTTTTTCCAGGCTTCCTCTTTGATTTTCAGGACATCAAAGAGCCATATTGGCCTCTCCTTATTCTTATCTTTCCTTCCCATTAGGATGGTTGGCAGTTATGCCTTTAATATTGTTTCCTTCAGAGACCGCCAGCTCACTGGAATTCCTTTGTCCCTTAATGTTCTCCCCGCGGGACATTACCTACTCGCTCTCTGCGTTTGTTAAAGTCTGCTTTTTCAAAAACAACGAGGAGTCCTTGTGGCACCTTAAAGACTAACACATTTATTTGGGCATAAGCTTTTGTGGGCTATAACTCACTTCATCAGATGCATGGAGTGGAAAATACAGTAGGCCATGCATCTGATGAAGTGGGTTGTAGCCCACGAAAGCTTATGCCCAAATCAATGTGTTAGTCTCTAAGGTGCCACAAGGACTCCTCGTTGCTTTTGCTGATACAGAGTAACACGGCTGCCCCTCTGAAACCTGCTTTTTCAAAGTCCATTCTGCTTCTTCCACTTCTTCCTTTCCTTTGAATCAGGAAATCTCTCATTTCATGATCACTTTCACCCAAATCGCCTTCCACCTTCAGATTCGCTACCAATTCCTCCTTGCTGGTCAGACTCAAGTCGGAAAGGGGTTCCTTCCAGTGACCGAGATCAGGGCCCCAAGAACAGATTGGAAATGTTGGGTTTGGCCGTGTTTCTTTTCCAACAGATGCCTGGATAATTAAAGTCCCCCATTACGACCAGGTCTTGTCTTTTGGATATTTCTGTTATTTGTCCTAGAAATCCCCCATCTCTTCCTGATTTGGTGGTCTGAAGTGGACCCCCACCATGACACCACCCCTAATTTTATATTACCCCTTTTATCTTTCCCTGGGGATTTTCAAGCAGTCTGCCTTCCTCCCACTTCCTTCAGAACCTCAGAAGAAGTGATGCTTGATGTTATGGGGCGCTGTGCTCTGAGAAGCGGGGGGCTGAGGGGGCTCAGTTGGGGGCACTCTCCCCACACAGTTCGTGCTGACTACACTGCCCTGGTGTGGCACCAGGGGGCACTGTCCTGCAGGGAGCAAGGTGGAGGGCTCGGTAAGGGGCATTCTCCCCTGGCAGCCACCATGGCCCATTGCAGTGCATAAATCAATGATCAAACTTTCGTAACCCTCCAAAAATCCAATAAATAAAAACAGCACTCTGAAAATTCAAGGGAAAGGTTCAGATCGGGTTTCTGATGTTTGGAAGTGGATTTGCTGTGCATGGAACCGTCATCTAGTGTAAAGGACCGGACTCCTGGGTCCCCACCCCAGCTGTGGCCCGGACTCCCTGTAAACATTAGGGCTCCTGGGTCCAGGCCGCAGCTGTGCCCCAGACTCATTCACTGAGCATCAGGACTCCTGGGTCCCATCCCCAGCTGTGGCCTGGACTCCCTGTGAGTGTCAGGACTCCTGGGTCCTCTCCCCATCTGTGCCCTAGGCTCGCTGTGTGACCGTGGGCACGCTCTTTCACCAATCTGTGCCTCAGTTTCCCCATCAGTAAAAGCAGGCTAGTGGTCACGTCCTGGGGTCTGTGAGATTTCCTTCCACTGTTTGTGAAGTGCCTTGAGACGCCTGGATTTAAGGCCCCCTATGCCATGCCCAGTCTAATGGTCTGTGATTATGCTCTGAGCAAGTTCAGTGAAAGGAAATCACGGGCAATTCCTCGCCTGGGGCTAACTCCTTGGCCTCTGCGAGATGTGGCAAGTCCCTAAAACGGCAGAGAGGTGCTGGGCTATAGAACTAGGCTCTGCATGCTCCACAAGCCCAGACGTGGAAAATCCTCACTGACTTGGAGCAGTAGAGGGGTTTATGACACATAGTTTGACCGATTCAGTCCAGTGGTGGGAAGTACAGTCCTGACGCACCAGCTGGTGGACCAACGGCCTACACTTTAGTTTATTTGTGAGGGCAGCTGAGCCTGGGGGTGCCACGGAAGTGGGTGATCGCCTGGGCGGTGCCCTTTCTGCACAGCTGATTGCGCTGTGGTTTATTGCTGGCGATGCAATGGGGCTGGAGGTGTGGGGGGGGCGGGGCTGCTGCGTTGATGCAGAATCCGGTTGCTAAGACGGAGCGGAAGGCGGTTGTCGTGTCAGGGCTCCTGCTTCGTCACACTTCAGAATCCCACCCCGGGGGGGCCTGGCCCTTTAAGCAGGGGAGCCAGCTGCGTCCTGTGCCAACCCCAGCCCACCTCTCCAGGTGGAGGGGAGGAGGGGCGCTTGGGGGAAGGTGAGCATGCAGAGCCAGGTCTGCCTGAGTTCGGGCAGTAGCTAGGACCAAGCACGGTTAGCCTGGGAATGCAGCCCTGTGGGGGAGAAGGCCGGGGAAGGCTAGAGGAGCAAGGAGGGGTGGAAGGAGGCTGGCCTGAGATGCCAAGGCCTGGGGAGTGAGACCTGCTGGGAGTAGAACAGAAATCAGTGTGGCCTCGTGGATTGAGCATCAGACTGGGGTTAGGGAGACCCTTCCCCTGCCTTGTGACTCAGTGTCCCCACCTGTCCAATGGGGATAATGCCACTGAGCTCCGTTGTAAAGTCCTCTGAGATCCTGCTGGATGGGGCGAGCTAGGGCGCGGAACCAGTGACTTGGAAAGAAGTGCACCTGAGGCCATGAAGAAAAGGGGCTGAAATCCTTCGGCTGCTGAGTTCTTTGAGCCACTGGCCGGCGAGAGCAGAGGACTGGGATGTCAGGGTTCATAAGCCATGCGGTTGTCAGGCAAACACAGGCCTTTTACCCATAACGCTGGCCCCGTGCATGCTGTGGGAAGGGCTCTCCCCTACAATCCTGCCTGCCAGGTGCATCCTGTCTTACTAGGGATTGCGATAGAGCACTAGCCGGGGGCACAGGACAACTGGCTTCTATTCCTGGCTTTGCCACTGATCTGTTGGGTGACTGGGGGCCAGTCCTTTTCCATCTCCGTGCCTCAGTTTCCCCTCCCAACTTTTGGGGATTTAGATTGTGAGCTCTTTAGGGCAGCACCCGGCACGACGGGGCCCTGATCTCGGCTGGGGTCTGGGCAGCGCCTGGCACGATGAAGCCCAGATCTCGGTTGGGGTCTGGGCAGCACCTGGCGCAACGGGGCCCTGATCTCAGCCGGGGTCTGCGCAGTGCAATGTGGTCTCCCCCAGCCCCAGCCAGAGGGAGGAGGGCCGGGTGCTGCTGGACACCTAGTACGTCATCAAGCCAGGCAACACCAAGGAGAAGATCGCCTTCTTCGTGGCCCACCAGTGCAGCAGAAGCAGCCTCCTCCTAATGAATCTATAAGGGGCCAATGAATCTATCTATGAGGCCAAAGTTAAGGGGTGCTGAGATCCAGCTCCAGCTCTAACTGGAGCCTTCATTTCCCAGCAGGCCTTAATGACCCTCATTAGGCAGCTGATGCGATCGGACAGGCTTGCCGTGTTTCCAATCAATTTGCTGTTTCCCCTATTGGATTAGCCAGGAGACCTGCAGCCGGGTAATTGGAGTAATTGATGCCATATGGAACACAGGATGCGCTCCGGTGCCATGGGAGAGGAGCCTTCCCCACACGCGGGGCCGGAGTTCCCAGATAAACAGCCAAGGGGTGGGGGTTACGGATCAGCCTGCCCAGGGAAAGTTAAACCCTGCTGGTGCCTCTTCGCCCTTCCTGGTGGATGAACGTAGCCTGGGAGAGGCGCGTTTCTCTGCCCCAGCTCCTCTTGGCCTGCCTCTCCATCACGCTCAAGAGCCCTTTGTCCCTCTCTGACAGCCCGAACGGTCCCCTGAGAATCTCCCCATGGCGGGGGTCTTCCCCAGCTGGTGTGGAGCTGGTGTACAGCCTCCTGTGACCAGAGAGCCCTGCGCTGTGACTGTTCTCTGCCCCCAGGGCTCACTGGGGGTGGATCAGGGACATAGCTGGGGTGCTCTGCGCTGTGGCTATTCTCTGCCCTCCAGGGAATTCAGCCAACATCTGCGTCACCAACGCTTGTGATTTCGTCAGGAGTCTCACGATATTTGGGGTCTTTCCCCAAAGTCCCAGCTGCGGGAGGCAGGGGATTTCGGGAGACCCTTGGCTCTCGTTTTAAACAGAAATGACGTGCGTTCCTCACGGAGGCAGTGAAAAGCTAGGGAACGCCGCAATGGAGAACCCAGAGTCTGTTCTCTCCTTTCAAATCTCGGGGCGGGGTGGGGGGGGCAGTTTAAGCCACTCTGGTGATTTGGGGGGCCTTCGCGCTGGCGACGTTGCGGCAACTTGCTGACTCCTGGGGAAAGTGCCTTTAACGGGCTGGCCCTGAGGCACGGGGGCCAGGGTGGGCGCATGCCCCCCAGCCGCCCAGGCTGTGTCTGCTCTGCGGATGAGTGGAGGCTGGCAGGCTGCGGGACAGACTTCCCCAGCGCTAAGTATCCAGCTGTCCCCTCTGGCCTCCCCCCTCCTATGCTTGATCCAGCCAAACGAATCAGCAGGTCCTGGTCAGTTGCCACCTAGTGACCCCAAAGGGGTCTGATCTCTGGACAGTTTCTCCACCTCAGCAAGAACTCGAGCAAAGCAGTTTGCTCTTCCCCACCCCGCAGCTCAGCGCCCTGCTACCGGCAGGTCAGAGAGACACAAGCGCTAAGCCGGAGCAGGCATCAGCACCCCCCAGCCAAGCCGTCTGGTACGACCAAAGCCCACTGCACTGTGGCTATTCTCTGCCCCCACAAGGCTAATAGGGGCGGATCGGGGCTGGGGCCAGAGCAGGGTGGGGACTAGGAGGCAGGACTCCTGGGTTCTCTCCCCGCTCTGGGAGGGGAGTGGGGTCTAGTGGTTAGATCCAAGGGGCCTGGGAGGCAGGACTCCTGGGTTCTTTCTGGGAGAGGAGTGGTTAGAGTAGCAGGGCTAGGCATAAGAATTTTTGGGTTCTCTTTCCATGTCTTATAAGGGTATTTGGTCTTGTGGCTGGAGCAATGGGGGTGGAGCCTGGGAGTCAGGACTCCTGGTTTCTGTTCTGAACCCTGTCACTAACTTTGGGCAGATCCCACTCTGTGCCTCAGTTCCTCCCTTCTGTTAGGAAGGCAATAAGGATACTGACCCTTCCTTCGGGAAGGGCTTTGAGAGCACGGGATGAGAAGCCCCCCAGTAACCGTGAAGGTTATTAATTCAGAGAGAGCCCCACAAGTGTGCTGACCGACAATTATTTGCTTGAGCGTATTACAATCGTAAACTGCTGCTCGCAACTTCTATCCAAGGATCCAAAAGTGCTTTACAGACCTGCATGAGTTCAGCACCACAAGCCACATCCCCTGGGGAAACAGAGGCAGGGAGAGGGGAGAATTGCCCAGGGTCACATGGTAAGTCAGTGTCGGAACTGGGAATGGAACCCAGGTGTCCTGTTCTCCCCTGGGGTAATGCTCAACCCTGCTCCCCTCCCAGAACTAAGTATGGAACCCAGGAGTCCTGGAACCCAGTGCCCCCTCTGCTGTAATCACTAGACACCGGTCCTTCCCATCCCAAAGCTGGGAATAGGACCCAGGAGTCCTGGCATCCAACCCCCCCTGCTATAACCACTAGACCCCACCCCCTTCCCAGAGCTGGGATAGAACCCAGGAGTCCTGGCTCCCCTCCCAGAGCTGGGATAGAACCCAGGAGTCCTGGCTCCCAGCCCCCAATCATTAGACCCCACTCCCTTCCCAGAGCTGGGATAGAACCCAGGAGTCCTGGCTCCCCTCCCAGAGCTGGGAAAGAACCCAGGAATCAAAACCGACAGTGCCTGTATTCTAACCACCCAAATGTGAAATGTAGGAATAAACACAGGTGCAAAGAAACAATTTGCCGTTAAGAGCAAGACCCAAAGACATGTGCAGGGGTCGGTTTCCCTGGACTTCCTCCTCACAGATCAGCGGCTGACCTCGAAGGCTAGCTCCAAACCGGCCCCATGGCCACACAGCAGCGTTCCAGTGGAGTCACTCGACCAGATCCGCAGCCAGCGTAAACAGCTACGGCCCCATTGGGGTCAGATCCCGCAGCTGGTGTGAATGGGCCAACGCTCCACCGGAGTCAAAGGAGCAGTGCCGGCTGACATCAGTTGCGGGTCTGGGCCCGTGGGTTCCCCTTGAACACCCGCAAGCTAGACCAGACGCCAGCTCTGAACACACTTGCATTTTGGGCTTTGCTTTGCTAGAAACATGGAACTTTTTAAACCAAGAAACTCCCATCGGCTGCGTACAAACCAAACCAGTCGGGGGATTTTCTTTGGTGGCAAAAACTGTCCACCCCCAGCAATATCCCCGTGCACCCCAGAGCAAGCCAGACTCCAGGACAGGGACCAGGGAGGGGAGTGGGGATGACACGGACCAGGCGTCTGGATCGCAGACAGCCTCTGTGCCCGAACAGCCAGCGAGCCGGCAGCTTCGCTCACCTGATAAAGACGATGATGCCGACCCGGGCGATATTGTCGTGCAGGATCCGCCAGGACTCCTGGATCCGCTCCTTCTGCGCGTCCACCAGCGGAAAGGGAACTGCCCCCGGCCCGTCGCCGCCGTGCTCCGGTCCCGTTTTCGACGCCGCTTGGCTTTCCACCGACGGGCGCCGCTTAGACTCTGGAATGGTTTTCCCCGGGGCGATCCCGGAACCCGACAGAGCGCATCCCATCTCGAGAGGGGAATAAAACCCACCCCCAGCAGAGCTTCAGGGGACCGGGGGGCCGGACTCCTGGGTTCTATTCCTGGATCTTCCAAACCAGCTAGACAGACAGAGATACAACAAATGAGTTAGGGACCTGCAGCTGGACTGAATTTTAACCTTAGTACCTCCCCTGGGACGGAAGCCCCAGAGAGTATACCCCAGCGCAGAGCTCATCGCTCAAAGCACCACGAACTAGCTAACGATCTAAAGGGAAACAGACCTTCAGCCTGAGGGACAGCTGGCGTAAACTAGCTCCTTCCAAGTTGGCTGACTACCGGCGATTTACACCCCCTGAGGATCCGGCCCTGAACCTCCAAACGCTCCCAGCCAACGCCCCGATAACGGGGACCTTCTGATGCAGCCAGCAGCGTCCACCTACCCTGAAAGCCCCCCTCCCACCCCGTCCTGGGCGACCAGGAGGAGGCTGCTGGAGATGGTGAAAGAGGCCAGCGGCGTGTTTGAGGCTCACGCGTGCAGGTGGATCGTATTTGTACAGAGCTGAATAGTCCAGGCTCTCCAGGGTCCTAGACTACACAGATTCAGCCCTGGTCGAAACATAATGAATGGGAGCGTCAGGTCTCCTACTCAGTGCACATGCTGGTGGTGGTGGGGGGGTGGCTTTCCAAAGAGCTCCCCCAGCCAAACGTTTGCTGTCCTGGGCCTACAGCTGGTAACAAGCTCTCAGGACCCGGCTTCTATGGAGCCGCATAGAAATAGTCCATAGACACACAGGACTGGAAGGGACCTCGAGAGGTCTCTAGTCCAGTCCCCTGCACTCCTGGCAGGACTCAGTATTGTCTGGACCAGGAGCGAGGCGGTGTCGGCGAGACCGAGCCTGGGACGCTGTGCCCAGTTCTGGAGTGGGGGCGGGGGGAGGACGCATTCAAACACGCCTGTTGGCAAATTGGGGCGGGCGCAGAGAAGAGCCACAAAAATGATTCAAGAGCGGGAGAAAATCCCCATGCGCGAGAGAGATTTTAAGGGAGCTCCCGCTGGCTTATGACAAAGACGATCAAGAGGTGACCTGATTTAACGGTGTATATGGCTCTGGTTACTTGGTCACAGCGTCAACTGGGCGAGCGTCCCGGGCTTTAAAGGGGCTCTTGCGTTGAGCAGAGACAGGCAGAACAGAAATCACTGGCTGGAAGTTGAAGCTGGACATATTCCAACTGGAAATAAGGCCCTGCTTTTTCACAGCCAGGGGGACTAACCCCGGGAACAAACGGCCAAAGGAAGCGGCTGTCTTCAGACGCCTTGCTGCAAGACAGACTGGATAGTCCAGTGCAAGTGATGATCGGGCTCCGTATGTGGGGAGCTGGGCAAAGTTTAACAGCCTGGAGGTCAGACTGATGATGTAACGGTCCCGTCTGGCCTTGGCCTGGGCCAACCAGGGCCAGCTGGGGTGGATAGGGCAGACACTTGTCCAATAGGAACCAGGCCAAGGGCCATCCAACTTAGTTCATGCAGATCCCAGGGGCTCCCAGCAAATGGATATGGTTTGGGTCTTTGCCGGCGCAAGGAATCCCTGTGCATTGGGGTCAGATCAAGCTGGATGTTTGTCCCGGAGGAGATCACCTGAGCTGGGCTTGCTGTACTGGAGGGAGGCGTCTTGAATTATTATTATGCTGCTGAGCATGTGCTGTGCTCAGGGGCCCCGATTCCCAGCTTCCCCAGCCCGGCACTTGGGGGCAGGTGGCTTTTGAGCTCTGCTTTGCACTCCCTATATTCCAGGTCTGGCCTGAGGTGAATATTAGAGCAGCCTCGGGGTTGCTCTAATTTATACGCTGCCCCCTGGGGGCAGAGAAAAGCCACAGTGCAGAGCACTCCAGCCAGGCCCCCAGTTCCGACTCAAGCAGGGAGCCCTGACACCAGCTCCACACTGGCCAGAGTAGATCCCCGGGACAGGGGGAATTTTGGCCCGGGGCTGCTTGTGCCCTCAGTGGGCCCTGAGCATGTTGCCCACTGACTCCAGCAGGAGGGAGTTAATCAGTCCCACAGCTGCATCTGGTAGGCGTCAGAAGCGCCATGACAACTGCCAAGCCCTGGGATCAGCGATGGATCCATGACATCCCTTTTTTGGGGGGGCGGGAAGTGCCCACAAAACAATGAGGCCCTGGGCATATTCGTTAATTTCAATTGATGCTTCTTGAAAGTAGGAGTCAGTGTTAAACACATCCAGATTCATTCTGTGCCCGTTTACCCCATCTGACTTGAAATCAGGATCTGTACCTTGGGTCAGGAGGGGCCCAGTGGACGGCTGGGCAGCTCGCACAGTGTGACATGCCTGGAGGGGGGCAGAGGGGCTGGGGGGGCCACAGGGGCTGGGGTGCATGAGTCACGGGCACTTTGCATTGGATGGGGGCCCCTCTAGCTGGCCTCACGTGCTCTGAATCTGCCCCATTCTCCTGAGGTAGATCCATGCGGTCTGCACCCCCTGCCATAGTTCTTGACACCCTCCCTGCCCCCCCATGCCCTGGGAGAGGGTTGTCCCCTTGCTGGTATGACTCAGAGGCGGGGGGGGGGGCTAGCCCATAACCTGCCCCCTCCTCCAGTGCAGAGCTAGGTGCAAATAAGCAGCTCCTTGCAGGTTCCATCTGCTAGAGTCACTCCCTGTGGGCCCTTCTCCGCCCCTACCCTGCTGCATGCTGGGAAAATCTGCAGACACGCACACACCCCTTACTGCTAATGATGCCAGGGAGCAGAGAATTCTGGGTATTTTTTCCAGGTCATAGTAGCTGAGCACTCCTGGGAAGTATTGTGTCTGTTTTACAGGCGGGGAAACTGAGGCACAGAACAGTTGCGGGGGAACTTATCCCGCAGCAGCAGAGCCAGGAATAGAACCCAGGTATCCTGCCTCCTCCTCCTCCAGTGCCCTAGCCACTGTACTGCACTGCCCCATTGTATGGATGGGGAAACTGAGTCACGGAGCCTGGACAGTGACTTGCCCAAAGTCCAACAGGATGCTGGGACTTGGACCCAGAGCTGCTGAAACCCGGAGTTTAATGCCCCCGGCCCCGTCTATCAACTGCTAAACCAATCTTCCTACCCGCCCCCCACCCCGCTGCACTGCATTCTGGGATACCTGCCCCAGCGTGGGACCCAGCCAAGGGCCTGCCAAGGCTGTCGCAAACCTGCTAACACGCAGGCTGCCCTCCCCCTGGAGAGTCTCCGTCTGCCGGCCGGCCTCCCCCACGCGGGCTCGGGGGAATTCCAGCTCAGCCTGGATTTCTTCAAACTTATCTCCTGCCATCTGCATCCAGTTCCCAAAGGTCGGTATGCTCTCTGGCGTGCGGCCTGCCCGCCTTGCAGCCTTCTTCCCACCCCGCCTCGCGGCACACCAGCAGGCCCCAGCTGGCGACAGATCTTGGGGTGGGTGGGGGGGGTCACCCCGGATCTGGGGTTATTTTTTTTTAAACTCCAGAGCCTGTTTTACAGGGTCTTCCCCCACCCTCCCCCAATGCCGTTAATTAAATACACCCGTTTCTAAAAAGAAAAGTGGGCCTAACGGATTCTGTGCCAGAGACGAGGTGGGTGAGGGGAGACCTCCTTCTGCTGGGGACCACGCCAAACAAATTCTAGGCTATGCAGCCATCCGATCCCCCCTGCAGGCTTTGAATGCTGGGTTCTCAGATCCCCACCCCCCCCACCCCAAGCTGCTCCAACTGGAGCTCCAGGAAAAATTGCCAGGGGAGAGGGGGTTAATACATGCTTCACCAGTGGGGTGATGTAGCTATTTGCCAGGCAGCCGCAGGCAGGTGGCAATCAAGCGCCAGGAGCTCCCACCCCGGCTCTGGAAGGGAAATGTCACACAATGGTTAGAGAGAGACACATATATGTGACAAATCCAGCCTGAAAGGCAGAGCGGATTCGAGCTGGGTCTGCCGGGCACCTGGGTTCTGTTCCCAGCACTGGGACTCGGGGCGAGTTATTTGTAAAAGGGAAAAGTTTAAGATCCAGACGCTTTGAAAGGTTGGTGGGCTACGGGGGTCCTCTCCAGGCCACGGTCACAACTCCTGCACTGGGCTTTCTGCCTCCCACAGCCGCAGCCTGCAACCACAGGCCCCCTGCTCTTCCCAGAGCTGGGAAAAGGAACCCAGGAGTCCTGAATGCTATTTCACTGCTCCTTTTCCAGAGCCAGGGACAGCAGACAGGAGTCCTGACTCCCAGACCGCCCTGCTCCAATCACTAGACTCCACTCCCTTTCCAGACCCAGGGATAGAACCCAGGCCGCCCTGCTCCAACCACTAGACCCCACGCCCTTTCCAGAGCCCGGGATAGAACCCAGGCGTCCTGACTCCCAGACCACCCTGCTCCAACCACTAGACCCCAACCTGCTGTAACCCCAAAGGCTGGGAATAGAACCCAGGAGTCCAGGGTCCCTCATTCAGCTCATTGGAGCCCAGCTGCACCGTGGCTGGCCCCAGTTTGAACCCAGCTCCAAAGGAAAACATGCCCCCCACCCCAAGCCCCTGTTCCTTCCCAAGCCCAGCCGGTAGCAGCTGTGGGACACAGCGAGCCAGAAAGGGGTGGGGTGGGGGGATCTAGTGCAGGGGTGTGTGTGTGTGTGTGGGGGGGGTGTTCTGTGCATCCATTTCCAGCCCCTTCATGTCTCCAGCCCGTCTGAAGGCAAGAGGGAGAGTGTCAGGCCAGGGTCACCCCGGGAGCCACCGCAAAGGCTGTCCGGCTGCAGCTGCACCCAGCTCTGGGTTTGATCTGCTTGGTTGTGAGTCAGGGCTATGAGCAGCTGGGGAGGGGGAGCAGGAGAGGGGAGGGGTGTGGGGGAGGGGTTACATAGGGAGGGGGAGGAGTGTGGGGGCAGGGAAAGGGAAGGATATGTATGGGGAAGGGAGGGGTTGTGTAGGGGACAGAAAAGGGAGGGGGTTGTGAGGGGAGGATATGTATGGGGGAGGGGAAAGTTTGTGTAGGGAGGGGGCAGAAAAGAGAGTGGCTGTGACAGGAGGGGGAGCAGGAGAGGGGGCGTGGGGGAAGGGAGGGGGAGGATATGTATGGGGGAAGGGAGGGGTTCCGTATGGAGGGGAGGGGGCAGAAAAGGGCATGGGTTGTGAGGAGAGGGGGAGCAGAAGAGGGGAGGGGTGTGGGGACAGGGAGGCTATGTATGGGTGTATTTTTGCTCACAGGAGGCGGCCCCTGGCTCTGGGGCTCCTTGGTCTGTCATAATGAAGGAAGGACACTTAAGTGGGGGGCTGGGAATCAGGACTCCTGGGTTCTCTCCCTGGCTCTGGGAGGAGAGTGGGGTCTAGAGCAAGGCTGTATCAGAACCAGGACACCTGGGTTCTCTTTCTGGCTGCGGCAGGGAGAGTGGCCTAGTGGGTTGAGCCGGAAGCCAGAACTCCTGGGTTCTAATCCCACCGCTACCACCAGCTCATTGTGGGGCAGCCACTTTCTCCTGGGCCTCAGTTTCCCCATCTGAGAAAGCTTGGCTAAGGAGATGTGCTGGGGACAGTTATTCCAATGAGGGCCTGCTCGAGAGAGAGAGGGAGTCCAGCGTCACTGAAAACATCACTGTTTATTTATGGCTGGCAATTTTTTTTCTCTTCCAAAATTAACGTTAATACAAAAACAAAAACAAAACAAACCAGAAGTAAAAAGAACAAACACGTCCAACCAAGTTGTACGTATGATACAGGGGCCATAAACCAATCCACCAGACCGGTAACATAACATCAGATCCTAACCACCGCCAATGGATTTACAAGAAGGCAAACTTCACAAGAAGCCAGAGGAACTAAAAACCCTGGGGCGTTAATTTAAAGGTGATTGTGACAGCATAAATAACGGACAAAGCTGTTTGAAAACCACAAAAGCTCTGGCGAGCAGGGGTGTGAGCCGAGGCGGCCGCTGGCCCAGAGGAAAGTGTAAACATTCATTTTCGTCACAAGTGGCTGTCCAACGATTTGGACGGAGACAAGGTTACTGGAGGCCTGATCCTGGCGCCTGGTCCCTCCTGCTCTAACCACTGACGGGAAGCAACACACTCCTTTCCCAAAGTTGGGGGTAGAACCCATGAAACCTGCTCTCAGTCCCCCCCCCACCCCTCCTCTAACCACTAGATGCCACTGCTCACCTAGACTTTACGAAGAACCCAGGAGTCCTGGCTTGCTCTAACCACTAGATCTAGCTACCTTGAGCTGGGAAAAGAACCCAGGCATTCTGGCTCCTGCTGCTTTGCTCTCACCGCTAGCCACACTCCGTTGGATTGGAGCGCATTGGGGAAATCTGAGGCGACGTTGGCAGGAGCAATCCATTAGCGCTTGGGAGGGGCTCAGAGGCCATGGTGATGGGCAGCGTAGGAGCATACGAATACCTGGATAGCTTGATCCCTCATCCCTTCTCAATTTCACAGCCTTCAGCACTTACCACTCACCCCCGTCCCCCTCCCGCACACCCCTGGTCACACTCAAATGTCCACCGACCTCCTGTGTCACCCTCTCCCTCCTCGCCATGGCTCAGGGGGTCACGTCTGCCCAGGAGGGTGCGACGCAGCTGAGAATGGAACCCAGGAGTCCTGGCTTCCCTCCGCTAACTGTTGATCTTCACTCTCTCCTAGAACTAGGACAGGAACCCAGGAGTCCTGGTCCCCTTGCTCTCTCTGTTAGATCACACACCGACCCAGATCTGGGACTGGAACCCAGGAGTCGTGGCTCTCACCGCTAGACCACACGTCAAGCCAGACCTGAGAGTGGAACCCAGGAGTCCTGGCTCCCTCCCTAACCAGCAGGGCGCGTTCCTGCCCAGACCCGGGAAGAGAAGCCCAGCAAGCTGGCCGCCGACCCACTGGTCTGAGTGCCGCACTAGGCCTAGTGTTGGTTTTGCACTATCTTTTCCTATCTTGCGGCTTTTCCATTTGCAGGGGTGGGGTGTTATTTGGGGGCCACATCAAATAAATCGGTCGATTCGCTGGGTGGCTCTGAGGACAGGCAAAGACGACACCAGGAAAGAACTGGCCGAGGGACGGCAGGGATAGAAGCCGTGCCGGGGGGATGAGGCTGGAAAAATACGTACCATGCGGCCCAGCGACAAAGCAGGGCAAAGCAGATGGGGTGGGAAGGGGGTTCCCCAGTGGGTGGGGGAAGGAAGGGCCACCTCCACCACAATTCCTCCCCAGGGCTGAGATTCACCCCTCTGCATTGGGACAACACCCCACAGGAAGTCACTGGAGGTAGGACAGTTCTGTATCTGTACAGCACCTGACAACAGTGTCCTGGGCCATGACAGGGCACCTAGGTGCTACCGTAATACACCTAAGAGCAATAAAAATATACAGCACCGGGCACAATGCGGTCCTGGGCCATGACAGGGCACCTGAGTGTTACCGTAATACACCTAATAGCAAAACAAATGTACAGCACCTGGCACAGTGGGGGCGGGTCTTGGATTATGACTGGGCTCCTGGGTGCTACTGTAACATAACTAATGCTAATAAAAACATACAGCTTCTGGCACAATGGGATCTGGCCCATGACTGGGGCGCCCGAGTGCTACCGTAATACACCTAATAGCAATGAAAACATTCAATTTTTGGCATGGGGGGAGGGGGTGTCCTGGTCCTAGGTGCTACGCTAACGCAGTCAATAATAATACCCTGGGGGAGTGGCTCGATTTACAACCATGCTGAGGGAGACAGAACCCCCTACTTCAGGGCATAAGATGATCTCGGACTATTAGAGATGAGACAGATTCCTAATGTGGCGGGGAGGGGGGAGCTTATCCCCCATCTGCCCCTGCAGGGTTCTTACACCTTGCTCTGCAGCACCTGGCGCTGGCCACCCTCAGAGCTGGGATACCGGGCGAGATGGGCCTCGGCTCAGCTCCAGTCTGGTGCCCCCTCTGACGTAAACCAGGTGGAAGTGAGATCAGAGTCAGGTCCCTGAACAAAGAGGAGCTACGAGACCAGCTGAGGGCTGGGGAAGCTCAGTCGATTTCATTAACCGAGGAGAGGACGTGATGTCGGGCTAGAAGTACTGCCCTAGGTTGGGTTAAAACCCCTGAAACGGATGAGCTAACAGCTGTCCTTCATTCAGCTTCAGTGTAAGATACAACAGCATTCTCCAAGACCACGGCAAACCACAGCCACTCAGGAATTCAAAAGACTTTGGTGAAGGGGAGTTTGGCAGAGTATAGATTTTGGGGTAAGTGTCTTGGAGGCACAGCACATGGAGAGGGAGACACACAGAAGCACAGAAAGAAAGACAGACACACCCACAGGATGTGTGCTGCTGTGGGTAAGGAAGCGAGCTCTCATGTTTTGGGTCCACCTGTGTTCAGAGAAACAGGACTTTGTTTGGTCCCTTGCAAATAAACAAGATTGCATCAAAGGTGCCAGATTCTATCGTCAACTTCTCTTCCCAGCTGGAACAATTGCATGGCCCCCACCTTTGACGAGCCGCTTGAGTCAAAAAGGGGCAGTCGGACCTACACGGGAAGGAGTTTGTTGATAGTGGAGGGCTTGATAATTGAGCAAAGGGAGAACAAGATCTAGAGGTAGGGAGACTGGAAACAGGGAGGGGGCAGCAAGTGGGTAATGGGGCAAGGAGCTAACCATTGGAGAAGTTCCCCAAGGGACAGGGCAGATTCTCCATCTCTCAGACTCTTTAGATCAAGACTGGCTAAAGATTGGCTCTAGTTTAGCCTGAAGGCATGGGCCGGACAGGAATGGCCAGGAGGGGCTGGCTGCCTGGATTATACAGAAAGGCAGGATGGTGCCTTCTGGCCTTTTAAAAAAAAAAAAAAAGGCCACAAGAGAAGGAAATGAATGACATTTTAAACCTGGTCTTGACATCTTGGCCAGATTGCCCAAGGCGAGCATTGCCCCAGCAGTCAGAGGAGAAAAAAGTTGAATCTCAAATGGACGAAAACATGCAGGCTCATACATTACAAGCAGTAAAGGAGCTAATAACCCTAGAGAGATCCCCCCCCGCCACCCAATTGGTGGGCTGTGAAATAATTTGCAGAAACATGTAGCTAAATGGTTCCATCTGGAAGGCTCGATATTAAATACCAGAGTCTCTTTTTAACTACCTGCTGCTCCAATTTAAAAATCGCCTTGTGCAATCCCAGCTTTAGAAATGAAGCAGAAAAACTCATTGCAAAACCACAGACATAGCTGCACTGCTTTTCCAAGGAGCCGATCTTTATTTCATTATTCTCATTTTATTGCCACCCTGTTCCTGATTTCCTCTTTTAGGGAAAGGAAACACACACACACACACACACACACAATTTCCCCTTGTTAATTTCAAGGAAAACAAGCAGGGATTCAAACATTCCAAGAAGTTTCATCCAAATCACAACCCAGGATTGCTCCATCTGGAGGGATTTTACTGTACCTGTGCAATATTTAAGCAAACTGGTATTTTGCATCTTGAATTCATCAGCGAGATCCACTAGAATCTCAGGGCAACTCAGCTCCAGGGAAAGCTGGGAAGAAACTGAGGAGTGGTTTTGAGTTACAGGGTTTTATGTGCCTAGGGAGGGGGAAAAAATCATTCTGGAGTAATTTGGACCAGTGGCCACTCTGTAGAGCTGGAGAGCCACCAAGTTTAAACGGGGCGAGTCAATGGGGCCAGATTCCCAGCTGGTTTAAACAGACATTGAGCTGATGATTTCAATGTTGATCTGATACAAATATTTTTAAAAACCGGTTCTACCCAACTGTCCCAATGCAATTTTTACGGGCAAATTTGAGTTTAAGGTGCGTTTAGGCCTCGTAAACAGACGGACTTGGCTGCCTTGACATTTCCAGCACGCTCTGTGTGATCCTGGGGCCAACTCTTAAGCATGTGTTGAGGACACACCTGTGGTTCCCTTGGAGAGAAAGCAACTTCCCACTTCCTACATATTTTAGGGCATGCACCAGCTTCAGCTCACCAGAGCTGTAGTTTCAGTGTCTATTAGATTAATTACAGTAGCACCCGGAAAAATTGAGATGTATGCCGTGCCCAGAGCAAGCAACACACCCTGCCCCAAAGAGTCCACAATCCCCCTGGGGGGAAATGAGGCACAGGGCAGATGAAGTGACTAGACCACAGTCACACACTAGGAGTTTGTAGCAGAACTAGGAATACGACCCCTGGGCAACAGCTCACGCAGGTTTAAGGGGGACTTCTGTGGAGCTGGATTTCTGCCCGGGGAGGCCCAAACACCAGAGTGAAGGCACAACAGGGATTGTCTGGCTGCCACAGCTCAGCATCTCAATGCACCAGAGTCCAAAGACAAACTGACCCCCGGGTCTAGCAAGCCGAGCCAGGCTCCACGCAGCTTAATGCACCAGGCTCTGCACCAGGACAATGGCTTTCCCCAGGCCTGCTGCCCTCGCTCTGCTGGGCTGCTTCAAGCAGAGTGTGGCTGAAGCAAGGATTTGGCCCGGAAGACACTTTGGTTTTCACCTTTAAAAGGAGCAGGAAAATAGTTGGGTGTATGCCTACTGCCCCCTGCTGGCTCTGCGTGGGTCCACACTGCTCCCTTCTGGCTAGGCGGGTGTGCGTGCAGATCCCCCTGCTGGCTAAAGAGGTGTGCATATGTCCGTACTGCACCATGCACGCTGAAGGGTGCGTGCAGGTGTGTATCCTGCCCCCTGCTGGCTAGGCTTTTGTGTGCGTTTGTGTCCCCCTAGTGCCCACTCCTCTTTACAAACACCCACACCGCTCACTTTGGTCCCCGTCCAGGCCCAATCCGCCGAGGAACGAGCTAGGCAGTTAAAACAACCCAGAGCCAGAACCGAATGCCGTTTGCCTCAGGTGGGGGCTTGCAAGGCGGAGAACACTTAGCCTGTTGGCCTGTGGGTGCCGTGGCCACCTGGCTGGGACGAGCACAATCCGCTGGGGCCACACGGCTTTTACAGAACAGGTCCCGCAGCTCCCTCCTGGCCTGGGAGGGCTAGAGACAGTTGCTTAATTGCACAGACAGACTCTTGAGTTCAGCTGGCCTTATCCACCCCACTGTGCCTCTAAAGTCACCCAAGGAAACCAGATCCACAGCTGGCATCAAGGGGCTTCATTCCATTGGGGTCAATGGGCCCAGATCCCCAGCTGGTATCAACGGGCCTCACTGCAGTGGGGTCAATGGGCGTCGCTCCATTAATGGACCCAGACCCCCAGCTGGTATCAATGGGCCTCATTCCATTGAGGTCAATGGGCCCAGACCCCCAGCTGGTGTCAATAGAGTAGGGCCAAATTACCCTAGCTGGGGATCTGGCCCCACCCCTGCCAACCCCAGTGGGTCAATAACAATTCATCCCCCCCTACCATCCAGCCCTAGAAATTGGTCCCATTGGTCCCGGGGACATGCAGAGCCAGGAGTGGTCCTGCAGCCGTGGCTGTAAACCCCCCCTGCCCGACCTGGCCCGTCACGTTTTCTGCGGGGTCTCTAAGGTGCTGCCGTTGATCCGCCTTGTGCTGGGCTGCCCAGGTGCCGCCAGCAGCGGGTGGGTGAGGCTGACCTGCGCGTTGCTGAAGGAGGCGATCCGGCCGCTGCCCCCGATCTGGATGTTGACGGTGGTGGAGTAGCTGGCCCGATGGGGTCCCGTGTCCCGAGCCAAGTCCCCCCTCGCTTTGGGGTACTCCTCTGGCGAACCCGGCGGCCCCATGCTGCCCGCCCGCTCAGCGTACCTGGAACGCAAGCCGGGAATGTCCGGCCACTTGATGCCATCCAGTTCATCGGGGCTGGGACTGGCTGAGCCGCTAGAGGGTGCCCCGGAGCAGCACCCCACCCGGTCTGCATCCCTAGGGGATGGGGGGCTCTCGGGGTTTCCCCTCGGCCTCCTGCCTGGCTGAGGTAACGTGGCGGAGGGGTAGGAGGTGGGCTGCAGGGGGGAGGAGAGGCGGGGGGTGGAAGGCTGGGTGGGGACATGCAAGGGGGCGAAGGAGCAAGGCCGTGGGGGGGCACAGCCAGCTCTTCCCACTGCAGGGCGTTGGCTGGAGGGAGGGGGGGAGCACACCCGCTGGCAGGCCGGCGCTGGAGACTGGACCCTGGAGCTGGGCTCTGAAGCAGAGGAGAAGGGGGTGGGCTGCTTAGCTCGGGGGCCCAGGCACATCCCCGAGAGACGGTCGAAGGCCAGCAGCACGGCTGAGCCAGGCGCCAAGGGGATGGGCTCCCCCAGCCAGCTGGAATTGCGGCAACAGCCCGCGGGAGAGGGCGACCCAGGGCTGGCACAGGGGGGAGGGCAGACGCTGAGCTGGGAAGGGTCCCGCTTGCTGGTACAATGGGACCAGGCATTGGCCTTCTCACTGGGTAATGGAGCAGATGGGGGTGCTAGGGCTCTGGACCCCAAGGGGCCGGGGGGTGGTCTCGGGACGGCTGAGCAAGGAGGCAGAGGCTTGGTGGGTGCCGAGGTCTCTGCTGACAGAGGCTGGGTGCCAGGTGGCCCCAAGGGGCAGGAGGGCGGTCTCGGGATGGCTGAGCAAGGAGGCAGAGGCTTGGTGGGTGCCGAGGTCTCTGCTGACGGAGGCTGGGTGCCAGGTGGCCCCAAGGGGCTGGGGGGCGGTCTCGGGATGGCTGAGCAGGGAGGCAGAGGCCTAGTGGGTGCCGGGGTCTCTGCCAACGGAGGCTGGATGCCAGGTGGCCCCAAGGGGCCGGGAGCCGGTCTCGGGATGGCTGAGCAAGCAGGCAGAGGCCTGGTGGGTGCCGGAGTCTCTGCTGGAGGAGGCTGGATGCCAGGTGGCCCCGAGGGGGCAGCATTTCTCTTGGCCAGGCTCTGGCTGATGCAGGAGGCGGCAATGTACCTGGAGATGGCCGCGGCGCTGGAGGACAGGCGCCGGTGTGCCGGGGAGGAGGTCTGGAGGCGCGGCAGAGCCGGGAGGGGGCTGCGATCCAGGCTGGAGCTGGGCGAAGTGGGAGCCGGCCGGGCTGCGGCACGGCCGGGCTGGGCAGCTGGGGACGGGCGTGCCACCCCCGTGGCCCGGGAAGGCAGCCGGGTGCCCCGGGACAGCTGAGCTACCAGAGGCAGGACGTTGCTGTGGAGCGGAGGCGGGGACCCCGCAGCACCGGAGGGTGCCGCTGGCAGGACAGGGTCCGGCGCGGCAGGCAGGGACGCCTCTCCTGTCCCGCAGCTGACGGGCCCCGGCGATGGCTCCTCAGTGCCAGGCGGGGAATCCCTGCCCAAAGCCAGGGCCCGCTCCTCGGGCAGCGGGATGGCGGCAGGCCCGTTCTGCTCCCCCGCCGGCTCCTGGGAGCCGGCGCCAGGGATGGAGGGACCCGGCCCCAGCAGGCCAGGCTCGGCAGACGTGCCGACACACGCTGGCTCACGCTCCTCCGCAGGGCTGGGGGAGGCGGCTGGGACCGGACCGGCCACCTCCGGCGCCTGCTGGCTCAGGGCCGCTTCCGAGAAGGGAGAGGAGGCTGGTGTCTCCACGGAAACCTCCCTGGCGCTCGCCTCACCCCGGCGCCCGCTGGCCGCCAGCTCTGCCCCCGCCAGCCTGGCTTGGCAGCCTGGCACCGACGGGCACTCGGCTTCGGGCATCATGCCAGTTCCACCGGTAGCGCCAGGAGCAGGCGGCAGAGACCTGCCCGTGCCGGGGCCTTCCCCAGCCGGATCACCTGGGCTCGGGGGGTGCCTGCTGAGCTTCGGAGGCGATTCCACCAGCAGCGGGGGAGGTGAAACAGCCACGGGGGCGGGAAGCTCCTGCCAGGCGGGTCCTGGCTCCTCGGCCGGGGCCGAACCCAGGCACTGGGAAGCCAGGAGAGGTGGAGGCCGGTCGCTGTGCAGATCCAGGGCGTTCCCTCGGATGGCGGCCACCAGCAGCACGTTCTCCTGGATGCAGTTCAGGTGCAGGAGGGGCTCACGGATGAGCACGTGGCCGTAGATCCGGGGCTCGCCTGGGGGAGAGAAGGGGAGAGGGGTCAGCAGCTCCCTGTCGACTTAAGTGCCTTATCCCCACGCGCAGCTGGGTGGCCTAGGGGGTAGAGCACAAGCATGAGCTTCAGAAGACCCAGTTCTTCCTTGCGCTGCTCCAGGGTGACCTTGGGCAAGTCCCGTGCCTCAGTTTCCCCATCTGTAAAAAGGGGGTAATGAGACTGACCCCCTTTGTGAAGCACTCAGAGACCTGCTGAGGAGACAAATATTATTCTCTCTCCTACTGCAGGCTCAGCACGCGGCCCCAATTTACCACCGAAGCTAGGGGTGCAGGGACCCCAGCAGGACAGAGCCTAGGGTCAGACCCCCTCCCCACCCCAGCTGGTGTGAACGGGAGTTAGGAGTCCCGGAAGTCAAAGGAATGGTGCTGAGTCCCACTGCACGGGGATATTACTCTGGCGTTCATCCCAGCTGGGGATCTGTCCTAGCAAATCAACTCCTGAATCCCTTTGAGGAGGTAACTCTGCCCGTCGTGCGAGTGCCAGACGGGGGGCTGCGGTCTCTTGCTCAGACGCACATACATTGCTCAGATGGCAGTGTCTGATTTCCCCAGAGCCAGCCCCCCGGCTCCGGTTTCCCAGCGGCTCTTCCCATCTGCTCTCAGGCCCCTGCAAGGAACATTTTCTTTCCTGGGCTCCGGTCCCAGGACAGCTACTTTTGTGTGGCCGCCCGGGGAGGAGCAGGAGCAGCCTGCAGGGGTTCCAGCCAGCTTTCTATGCTGATCCCCCCTGGAATGACTGTGTGCGAGCGAACAGGGCCCAGCTGCGCCTATGAATGCTCCCTGCACAGAGCGAATGTGCTGCAGGGATCATCCCCATCGGCTTAGGGGAGCTGGGACTAGAACCCACGGCCTTGAAATCCACCCAGGCATGTACAGCTTGAGCTAAAGGAAAGCTCCGCAATCTGGCCGCTCCTCTGGCACCTCAAGCCCTGCCACAGCCGGCACAGAGTCCCCTCTGCAGCTCCAGGCAGCCGGATCCTGCCTTCCACGCCTGGGTCCCAGCACACCTTTGCTCAGGCTCCGCACTCCCGTCTCCCTGGGCGGCTCGGCGCCGGCCGCACGCCACAGGTCATTGCGTCAGGGACCCGTTATCTAGCGCTGGGACAGGCCTGGTGGCTCCGGGGCGCAGTCCAGCCTGCTCTGGTGTCCAGGCACCCGGGGACAAGCGCTCAGACAGCAGAGACTGACGTAAAGAGGGATCCAGATTCCCTGCCCCTTGCCTCCCAGGTCCGTGTAAGCCAACGGCCAGGGAGCCGGGGGGCGAACAGGCCAGCGCTGCTGGAGGATCAGATCCTGCCCCGATCTGGACTCCACGTTGCCCCATTGCCCTGGGATCCATCATGATTCTCCACACAGCCTAGAGATTTGAAGGGGGGACTGGCTGGCTCAGGGGGGCATGGAGTGGGACTCAGGGTGGGGAGCAGTGGGGAGAGGTAGAGCCATGCTGGAGAAAGCCTGGCACGCAGAGCGGCACCGTGGGGTGCCCTACAGAGGGTGGGGTCCTCTGACACCGGGGGCTTCCCCGGACCCCTCCCATGGCCCCCCTCCAAGCCATGCCGCAGTGGAGGGTCCTACCCACCCAGCCAGAGGCCCTGGGACTCACAGAGAGGGAGGCAGGGCCCTGGCATCTCCTCCCGCAGGCTTTGCAGGGTGCCCATCCTGCTGGGTGCCGGGCGGTGCGGCCCGTCCTGCGGCCTCCGGGCCGCCTTGGCCCGGCCGATCTTCTCGCTGTACATCCGGGCCAGGGCTTGCACCTTGCTGAGGATCCGCTCCGAGTTCTCCAGCAGGCAAGGGGCACTGTCCTCGGACAGCCCGGGCAGGGGGGCGTAGCCGGCGGGCGGGACACCGTCGGCGCGAGGGAGCCCGTCGCCGCGGGGCGGCCGGGGCGGGGCAGCCAGATCAGACTCCTCCACGATCCACAGGGGCTCCAGGAACGGTGGGGGCTCGCGAGCAGCCACCGGCCCTTTGCTGCCTCGCTTCGTGAGGGGGGTGCGCCCTCCCAGGGCGTCCACCGCCCCCCGCTCTTTCTCCCGCCAGGCCCGCCGGATCTCCGCGCACGACCTGTACTCGGGCTCCTGGCTGGCAGCGGGCAGGGCAGCATGGCTGGCAGGCTGGCCCCGCCCCTTCCCAGCATCCTCTTGGTTGGCACCAGCTTCGGTGCCTTGGTCGATGAGCTGGCCCCGCCCCTTCCCAGCATCCTCTTGGTTGGCAGCAGATTGGGTGTTTTGGTCGATGAATTGACCACGCCCCTTCCCAGCATCCTCTTGGTTGGTGCCATGGATGTCTGGGTTGATAGGCCGGCCCCGCCCCTTCCCAGAATCCTCTTGGTTGGCACCAGATTGGGTGTTTTGGTTGATGAATTGACCATGCCCCCTCCCAGTATCCTCTTGGTTGGTGCCATGGATGTCTGGGTTGATAGGCCGGCCCTGACCCTTCCCAGCATCCTCTTGGGCCTCTTGGTTGGTGCCAAATTCAGTGCCTTGTTCAAAGGCCAGGCCCGCCCCCTTCCCAGAATCCTCTTGGTTGGCACCATGAGGGCTGGTGTTTTGGTCAAGAAACTGGCCCCACCTCCTCCTAGCATCTTCCTGGCGGGCAGGGCGGGCCTTGGCCCAACAAGCCCTGCCTCCCTCACGGTCCGTGGCGCCCTCCTGCTGGGGGAGGCGGTTGAGGTGGAACACAGAGTCCCGCACCACACCTGCAGGGGCGGAGAGGGCGCCCTCCTGAGCGGGGGGGTCTGGGGCAGCCTCGCCCGCCTCGTAGTAGCACTTGATCTTCTCAATAAGCAGCCGGTCGTCTCGGGTCAGCGGCGAGTCCCGTGCTGCCCCATCCCCGTACGGGGGGCAGGCCCCATTGGTGGCGCCCAGCTCCCCGCTGGATGCTTCCAGCCCTTCACGCAAAGCGTTATCCCCTGCCAGGACCTCTGGCTTGCCGGCAGCCTCCTCTGCATCCAGGTCTTCTAGGACACAAAGAGGGGAAGGGCCCCGCTCCTGCTTTTGCTGCTCCTCCTCCGATTCGCTGCGGGGGGGATGGCACGGCGGGAGGGGTTGCATCACGCCGAAGCTACTACGGCGGGGCTCGTCTCGCCCAGGGGCATCTCCCTCCTGAACTTCGCTTCCCTCTGCTCGTTCTTCCAGCACGATGCGGCCCGGAGGCGGATCCTGGGGGATGAAAGCACACATCAGCAGGGTTAGAGGAGGATACTTCCCAGCAAAGGATTGTTCCATCAGAAAATGCTGATCCGTCGAAATCGGACCCCCGCTGGCGGGAAACGGACGCATTTCTCGCCTCGAAAACACCTGGGCGGGGGGGAAAGGGTTCTACATTTTTTAAATGAAAAATTCCAGTTTTCCGGTTCAAACCAAATAATAAAAAATATAAATAGTAAAAAATGAGGTAACACGGCAGCGGATGGGTGAATCCTTCATTTCGCGCTTTGTTTCCATGTTACAAAGTGTTACCTGGGGCGGGCAGGGCTTGAAAAATCACCCCAAAACGTGTTACGCCATTTATGGAGAGCCCCGAGTTTTTTTTTTTTTTTAAAAAAAAAGGATCAAAAGTGAAATGAAACGTTTGAAACGACCGGAACGGAAACGAATTTCCAACTGGAGAAAATCTTTGAGATTTTGATTTTACATCCCGATCTGGGAAGGGAAAATGTTTCCATCTCTTGACCGTGCTCCTAGGATGAGAAAAGTTTCCCGTCCAGGTCTAGCTAACAGCACCGCGGCCAGCGGTCGCGATCCTTGCGGTTTCACTTAATAATCACCCAGCTCCTGGAATCATGGGCTTTCGGGGGAATCTCGGCTTTGATTCAAAGACCAAAAGGACATTGCTAGCCCTCCTGGTTGCACAGAAAAGGGGGAACCCGTGAGGTCAAAGGAGCAGAAAGAACACTTGAATCTCATGATTTCTCAGGCCAAAATCGTGGGATTTCTCAGCCAAATCTCGGGCTGGGCGGAAAGCTGATGGCACCGCGCTGGCAGAGCCGGGGTAGAAGTTTCATAAGCCCCGACGCACTTTCGGATCCCAAGTCCCATTTACAGGACCCAGGAAGAATCAGACTCTGAAGGGCCCGGTCGCTTTTGAAAATGGGGCTTTTGCTCTTAAGTGTTTTTGAAAATGTTACCAGAGAGCACACAGAAGTCTGAGTGCCAGGCCCTGCTCTGATCACCAGACCCCACTCCCCTCCCAGAGCCAGAGAAAGAACCCAGGAGTCCTGGCTCCTAGCCCCCAACCCTGCTCAAACCACTGGATCCCACTTCCCTCCCAGAGCCAGGGACAGAAACTAGGAGTCCTGGCTCCCAGACCCCTGCTCTGACCACTAAACCCCACTCCCCTCCCAGATCCGGGGATAGAACCCAGGAGTCCTGGCTCCCAGCCCAGTGCCCCATCCACTTGCGAATGCTGCCTCGATCCTCTCTCCCATTATGCCCCTTCTCCTCACGTACCTGCTCCGGCTGTGGAGTGGGGCTCCCAGGGCGCTGCTCCCCCTGCCCCCAGGGTGTCTCCTCTGTCCCCAGGTCCCTGCTCAGCCCCCTCTGGCTGAGCAGCTCCAGGATCTCCTCAGTGATGGACAGCGGCTCCTCGGCCAGGCAGAACGGGGGCGACTCGGCATCCTCGCCGGGGTCTGACTCCTCAGCCACGCTGGAGTCCAGGGTGCAGACGCTGCCCGAGGGCGCCAGGGGTAGTGGGGCGGGGAACAGCTCCCCCTCACTGCCCGCGTGCTGCAAAGAGAACAGGCCCCAGGCTGCTAAGTCCCCCCAGATCCCTCCCTCCACGCAGGCCCCCCAGACCTGGGCACTGGGTGGGGAGAGGGAAGTGGGGTTATTCACCTGTTTTAACCCCCCCCCCGACCCAAGCTGGGGATGGAACCCAGGAGTCCTGATTCCCAGCCTCCCCCCGGCTCTAACCACTAGACCCCACTCCTCTCCCAGAGCTGGGGATAGAACCCAGGAGTCCTGCTTCCCAACCTCCCCCTGCTCTAACCACTAGACTCCACTCCTCTCCCAGAGCTGGGGATAGCACCCAGGAGTCCTGATTCCCTGCCTCCTCCCACTCTAACCACCAGATCCCACTCCCCTCTCAGAGCCAAGGAGAGAACCCAGGAGTCCTGCCCCTCCCCCCAAGCTGGGAGCACAGCACACGCCTTCCAACTTCCTACCCCGGCACCGAGGCCCTTATTGGCAGCAATAAAACACCAACCGGGGAAGGGAAACCCAGAACACGCCGGCTCCTTACCTTCAATTTGGGGGTGGCTGGGAGCCCCCGACAGCGACCTCAGCGCAGAAGGGAAAGAGACAAACCCAGAGTTAGACACCTGAGCAGCCGGCCCCAAACCCACCAGCACGGACCCATCTGGCAAAACAAGGGCCAGCCCCGCTGGTGCCTCCTAGGCTCAGGTCCTGTCCCGGGCTCTTAGGAACACAGGAATTTTCAGATCAGGTCAGACTTGGAGCCCATCTACCCCGGTATCGGGCCTGCATTAGAGGAAAGGGCAAGACTTCCCTCTAGTGGGCAGTGATGGGATAGCCAGCGCCTGTCTAACCTTCTGGGAAGGCTGAGGTCCAAAACTCAGCACTGTCTACATGTCGGCAACGGTACTGGTTGCGGGGAGCCCAGGGCTGGGATAGCAGTGAGGTGAGGGGCACCAGGAAAGCTGTGGGAGAGCCCAGGGCTGGGATCGGTGGGGGCTGCGGGTCAGGGCTGCAGGCCAGCAAGAGAGCAGGGTGGGGGATACTTACCGTTCTGCTCCTGTCCCATCTGGCTCAGCTCAGTGGCCGGCTCTGTGGACAGAGGAAGAAGAAGCGTTAGCTGAAGCCCCCCAGGGGCAGGGAGAGGGCGGGAACACTCAGGTTCCACCCTGCCAGGAAGAGTTGGAGCTGCTCGGGTCACCTGGGGAGCTCCCCTGTGTTGCCCATGCCAGCAGGTGGAATGACAGCCGGGGAAACTGAGGCACAAAGTGGAGACGACTTATACAAAGTCACACAGGAAGTCTTTGGCAGAGAACCCAGGAGTCCTGACCTTCTTGTTTCCTGCTCTAGCCACTGGACCCCACCTCCCTTCCAGAGCTGGGGAGAGAACCCAGGAGTCCTGGCTCCCAGCCCCCCTGCTCTAACTCACTAGATCCCGCTCCCCTCCCAGAGCTGGGAGTCAGGACTCCTGGGTTCTCTCCCCAGCTCTGGGAGGGAAGTGGGGTCTAGTGGCTAGAGCAGGGGGGCTGGGTTCTCTCCCCAGCTCGGTCACTTATTTGCTGCAAGACCATCCATGCCTCAGTTTCCCCGTCGGGGGGGCTCCGTCTTCATGGCCCAATCAATCCTTCCCCTGTAGGCGGAGCCCACTGACAGCCCCATTTGCACCAGTTGGGAGGTGCCACCCCCCACAAATCCCCACAGGAGCCGGGCTGTCTCCTCTCCTGCCCTCACGTACTGGCTCAGGGGCACTCACCGGACTGCCTGCGTCCACGGCGGTATTGAGGGGCGCCATCCAGCTGGGCGACGGGGCAGCTTTTGCGGGCTCTCTCCGGCGGCTCTGAAACGGGACAGGAGAGACCAGATCGGAGAGGAATCCTGCCCCACCCTTGCCTCTGGCTTCCCTGGGGCTGGGGAAAGGCAGATGAACCAGGGCAAGAGGGTCGGGATTCCCCGGCCAGCCCCTTAATTCAGCTGGGTCCTTGCACATGGGGACATTAGCACCAGGACCCGCTCCCTGGCACACGGTCCCACCCCCACCTGCTGGCGTCAAGATCCCCTTGGCGTCCCAGCTCAGCTCAACAGGGCCTGGCCCGCGGCTGGGAACACCCCCACCCCGCTGCACCCCGCTTTCCCCCCGGCCCCTTGGTACCTGACTGCCGCCTGCCGCGGCCGTAGCCCCAAGCATCCTCCATCCTTGGAGAGGGGGCCGGCGTCTTCAGGGGCTCCGGGCTGCAGCGGATCTCCGGGGAGCCTGGTACAGACGAGGGGTTGGAGCGTCTAACACCGCACCTGCCCCCTCCCCAAACGCTGTCCATGCATCAGACCCCGGCAAATCTGGCAGCTCCACGAGCCCTGTGCTCTGCTTATACCCTGCCCAGCCCCTCCTCCTTCCATCCCCTCCCTTTCCCACCCCCTCCAGTCCTGTCACTCAGCAACGGCCACAAGGCTATTGGCCTACAGCAGAGGTGGGGGGCTGGGAGCCAGGACTCCTGGGTTCTCTCCCCAGCTCTGGGAGGGGAGCAGGGTCTAGTGGTTAGAGCAGGGGAGGGCTGGGAGTCAGGACTCCTGGGTTCTCTCCCCAGCTCTGGAAGGGGAGCGGGGTCTAGTGGTTAGAGCAGGGGAGGACTGGGAGCCAGGACTCCTGGGTTCTCTCCCCAGCTCTGGAAGGGGAGCAGGGTCTAGTGGTTAGAGCAGGGGAGGGCTGGGAGCCAGGACTCCTGGGTTCCCTCCCCAGCTCTGGAAGGGGAGCGGGGTCTAGTGGTTAGAGCAGGGGAGGGCTGGGAGCCAGGACTCCTGGGTTCTCTCCCCAGCTCTGGGAGAGGGGGGCTGGGTGCAGAGAGCCCCTCACTTACTTTGGAAGCTGTTCTCCAGCAGCACTTGCTTGGCCTGTAACAGCAAGGAAAAGGGGGTTACACACCTGGCTGCAGGGCACAGCGCCCCCTGCAGGGGTAAGAGGGGAGCGCAGCCCGCTGCGGGAGGCAGCCAGAGCCAATGGCTCCCTTAGGAACAGGAGCGAGGTCTGAGAACAGACCCCGAGCAGCCAGTGGAGACCCCTTAGCTGCATCCTTCCCCTGCTCACCTTCTGAGGGATCGACGCTGGGTGGTTCTCGACAATCAGACGCTTCAGGTAATGGATCCACAGCCGCTTCTCCTCCTGGTTCCTGGCCTGCAGAGGGGACGGGGGAAGTAACACCCACCGCTGAGATGCAGCCGCTGCTGGGGCGGGGGCTGTTCATACAGAGATCCCTCCCCTGGTGCTGAGATACAGCGTCCTCTGGGGTGGGGCGACGGGGCTATTTATACAGGAATCCCTTGTCCCGGAGAGAGGTACAGAGTCCTCTGGGGTGGAGCGCGGGGGCTGGTTATACAGGGACCCCTCGCCCAGCGCAGAGCTGGACAGGGAGCGAGGAAGGATCCTAGTGAAGGTGCAGAGGGGAAACTGATCCGGGTTTTGGCCAGGGGCAAGGGCCAGGGGATCTTCACTAGCCACAACTTGGCAGGATCTCGGCTGCGTCTCTCCGGCAAAAGGACAACGCACCCCAACACAACCCTGGGGCCGTGAGGAGAGCGCCCTCTTCTGAGCCCCCCCCCCACTCTCTGCAGGGGGTACCGGGGGGGGGAAGGGGGGGAGGCCTGCGTGATGAGGAAAGAGACCCTCCTCCCCAACACAGCGCCCCCTAGTGCCGCATTGGGGAATTGCCCTTGGAACTCGTTGCAAGGGCAGAGTCCTCCTCCCCCAGACCCCACTGATGAGTCCCTGCCCCCTAGCGCCGCAACATTCGGGGTGGAGGGGGGGGCTGCACTCACCTGCACCACGTGCTGCTGCTTGGGGATGGTGAGGTCCGAGATCTTGAAGCTCAGGGGGTCCTTGAGGCTCTCCGACAGGGCCAGGTTACAGCACTGGGTGGGGGGAGCAGAGCGCAGCATGGTCCCTCCCTGCTCTGGCTGCCGGCCCCTCGTGGGGGCAGGGGACAGCACAGGGGCCCAGACACGACATGAGGGAGCTGCCGGGGGGGGAACTGCCCAGGGGCCGGGCACCCCTCGATGGGGGCCACGCGGGCACACTCTACAGGGGCTAGTACAGACCCCGCCCCGGCCACAGGGGGACAGCTGGGGAAAGCCAGCCAAGGTGAGGGGGGCCCCCTGCCATCCAGTGGATTTGGGATGCCCCTCCCCCAAAGGATAGGGAGCCCCCGCCCCCTAAGGGAAAGGGGTGACCTTTCCCCTGCTCACCCCCCAGAGAATAGAGACCCGTCACCCACCCGCCAGAGAAGAGAGCGAGCCCTGGCCATGCCCCCTTGGGGATGGGGGTGCCCCTCCCCCTTCCCATCCCCCACTGGATGGGGACGGCCCTCCCCCTGCTCACCCCCCAGAGAACAGGGAGCCCCCCTCCCTCACCCACCCCTCAGAGAAGAGAGCGAGCCCTGGCCATGCACCCCAGGGTATAGGGGTGCCCCTCCCCCTGCTCACCCCCCACTGGACGGGGACACCCCTCCCCCCTGCTCGCCCCCCCCGGGGCGGGGCCCCCCCTTACGAAGATGTGGCTCTTGTAGACGAAGGCCGGCCCGCGGCGCTTGGCGACCAGCAGCATCTTGCTGAAGAGGAAGAAGGCGCGTTCCCGCCGCACCCGCTGTACCCGGAACTGCCCCTCCAGCACCAGCTCCCCGAAGGCCTCCAGCTCCGGCCCCATCCAGTCCACCAGCAGCCCCTGCAGCTCCTGGGGGGGGACACGGCCACAGATCAGCCGCCGCGTGGGCCGGGGGGGGCGCTTGGCTGGATGGAGACCCACTGGGGGGAGGGGAGGGACCAGCCGGGGGCCTGCCAAGGGGGTGACCTGGGGGGGAAGGGTCCCTGGCATGGGAGGGCTCAGGTGGGGGGCAGTTGGGGGTCCAGCCAGGAAGGGACCAGGAGATGGGGGAGACCAGTCGGGGTCTGTCAAGAGGGTGACCCGGGGTGGGGGGAGGAAGCGGGGGGTTGTGGAAAGGGCTGGGGGTCCGGCCAGGAGGGACCCTTTGCGGGGGGGGGGGGGGTTGACTGGGGTGGTAGGACGGTGCCCCCCCTGCCCCCCTCACCTGCAGCCGGGCGGCGTGTTCCTGCTTGCGCTTCATGTCATTGATGTACCAGGCCACGGCCGTCATGGTGATGGTGGCTTCCTCCACCGCCTCGTAGCCCGCGCTGCTCCGCTCACAGTGCCGGGCCAGCTCCTGGGGGGCAGCAGGAGAACGGCCCCTCAAGTACCCACCGGCTCCCTCCACGGGCAGGGGCCATGGCAGCCTGGGGGTCCTGGCACAGACGCCAGGGAGAGGCCGAGCTGGGCCCTCAGGGCAACAAGGGCCATGCCCCTGGGGCGAGCTCCCAGCGACTCCAGGGCCTCTCCCAGCAGGGGGCGCTGTGGGGCAGAGCTCCCAGCCTCTCCCAGCAGGGGGCGCTATGGGGCAGAGCTCCCAGCCTCTCCCAGCAGGGGGTGCTGGGGAGAGTGGGGCGGGAGCTCCCAGTCTCTCCCAGCAGGGGCACTGTGGGGAGTGGGGCGGGAGCTCCCAGTCTCTCCCAGCAGGGGCACTGTGGGGAGTGGGGCGGGAGCTCTGGCTGCGGGGGGAGCTCCTGGCTGGACAGTGCTGGGGTCTTTGCTCCGTGGATCCATCACAGTCACTTCAAGCGGGTGCCCGTTCCCAGAGCCCTTTGCAGGGAACCTGCGCACCCCACCTGCGCCTCTGCCCACCTGAATCTCCCGCAGCCCGGGGAAAGGGGCAGGGAGTGTCGGCCCGGCCCTAGAGCCGGGGGTAAGGAGGCTGGTCCCTTCGGCGGTGCCACCCACCTGCAGCAGGAGATGGTACTTGAGGATCCTCTGGACGGGTTTCAGCAGGTAGGTCTCCAGGGGCAGGGAGTGGCACAGCGTGGCCTGGCGCTCCCGGAAAAACCCCGCCAGCACCTGGTTCTCCATGCACTCCCGCAGCACTGACACTGAGCTGGGGGGAGATGGGCAAGCTAGCCGGGCACCGCGAGGGCACCAGACCGCTAGGTGGCGAGCGATGGGGGACAGTGCCCATCCGCCCCAGCACTGGGCAAGGGAAAGTGCCCGCTTGCCTGGCACCAGGCATTGGGGGGTGCCCGCCCCGGCACCGAGCGAGGGGGCATGCCTACCCACCCCAGTCTGGTTCCTAACATCCCTGCCCCCTTCCCCAAGCAGGGCTGGGGGGACACACTCAGATCCCAGTGGCCCAGGCATCCTCTCCCTCCTCCCCCTGCCCGGTGGGGGGGGGACCCATGCTGCTCTGATACCCCGTCCCTCCCCACTCCTGGGCTGGGGGCAGCTACTCACTTGGGGTAGTTCATGCAGTAGAGGGTGTAGATGTCAAATTCCTCACTCTGCAAGAGAAGACAGAGGGTGTCAGGGGAGGGGGCAGCGCCAGGGAGGGCAGGGATGGGACAGGGGCATGGAGTGAGCGGGGTCGGGAGGCGCCAACCGGGGAGAAAGCCAAGGTGCAGACAGGGAGGAGGGTTTCCCAGCCCCGCTCCCAAAGGGCACCCAACTCCCCTAGCACTCAGATGCAGCCACCTCTGGGGTGGGGCGCAAGGGTGTTCATACGCCAATCCTTCACCTAGCACTAAGATGCATCTGCCTCTGGGGTGGGATGCGGGGAGGCTGTTTATAAGGGATCCCTCACCTGGTGCTGAGATGCAGCCATCTCTGGGGGTGGGGTGTGTGATTTAGGCTGTTTATACATGGAGCCCGGCAGTGAGGTGCAGTCACCTCTGGGGTGGGGTGCCGGGGCTGTTTTTATAGGGATCCCTCGCTCGGCTCCGAGATGCGGCCGTCTCTGGGGTGTGGAGCTCTCAGCCTAGACTCGGTCCCCACCTGGCCATTCCCCTTTGCTTGGCTTCTTCAAACTTCGTTCCCACCCCAGCCCACCCCTTCAATCTCCCACTGAAGTTCCCAGACTGACCCCCTCTACTCTGGCTGCACCCCACAACCTCAGGTCACCCCTCCTCCAACCCTCATCCCCCAAAATCCCTTGATAACCTGTCCCCGCCAACCCCACCCCACAGCAGGCATCTCTCCCAAGATCCCCTCAGTGGAAATCAGTTTGCTCCTCCTTTCACTAGGCACTTCCTCATTTGATGTTCCCACCCCATTCCTTTCCTCCCTCCCTCCATCCTCCCCCACTCCATCCAGCCAGCATCCCTCTTTCCCCCTCCAACCCCCATCCATCCTTTATCCACCCACCCACCATCCTTCCACCCCTCTGTACCCCAGGCACTCTTCATTCTTTCCATTCCTCCTTATCCCTCTCATCCTTCCCCTCTTCGCCCTCCCCCACCAAAGGGTCCCCCTAACCAGATCGGGTACGGCTCACCCTGCAACGTTTAAGGGTGCTCTGCTCCAACCCCCCCCCTGGTTGGGACGGGCCCCTTTCTCCTTGCAAAAGGGGGGGGGAATTAGATGTCCCACCCCCACGTGACACGGTCCCACCCCTCCATTGGCTTCTGCACTCAAAGTTGAACAGAGCCGGAAGGAGCCTGTGCAGTACACACCTGGGTATGCTAGGGGGTGCAGGAGAGGTGGAAAGGGGTCACAGCCGGCTGCTGGAGGGGGGCAGGGAGGGGCAGGACAGGCGGGCCCTTACCCGTTGCACGAAGCACTCAGCGATGGCATGGGCGCTGCTGTTGCTCTCCAGCTCTTCCAGGAGCTCGCTGCACAAGGGGGAGAAACAGGGCAGGGGGTGAAGCCGCTGATGCAAAGGGGCACCCAGTGTAAAGGCTGTTTCTGAGGGGGGGCGGGGGGGATCTGTGTTATCGGGAGACCCCTCTGCACGCACCCAGAAACTGCATGCCCAGACTCCAAATTTGCATGTAGTTTGCATAATTGCATTCCACTATACAGGCTGGATTCGAACCCATGACCTCAACGAACAAGGCACTGAGGCCCAGTCCCTGAGCTGTGCACTTTCCCTTCCTTTCAATGCAAGCAACAGGTGCAAGATTTCTGCTGCAAAGGCCCGGTCCCCACCCGCCACCAGAGCAAAAGGAGAATCCCCACTAGCCGCTAGCAGTATAGCGGCCATGACACACAGAGGGGCAGTGCTGATTAGAGCCAGTAGAGGGCAGCGGCACTCACACGCTTAGCGGCCTGGCCAACCCTTGCCAAATGCTTTAAGTAGGGGGTGGAGGGTGAATTTACACAGAAGGTGGGTTCTCTGGATTCACGTCTCCAAAGGGCTGCGGGGCGGACGCGCCAGGGTCTCACTTCTCTAGGGCGCCCGCGCTGGGCCACTGGGATTAGGGAAAACTGGGAGGGGAGAACGCCTCCTAGTGAGCGACTGACGGCCCTTCCCGCCCCACCCCCCCTCACATGGACTCCCCGGCGATCAGCGCCCCGAGAACACCCTCCCCCACCCCACGCCCTCGCACGGCCCCGCCAGGAAATGAGCTCTGGGAACCGGCCGGGCTGCAGAGGAGAAACCCAGCCGCAAACCACATGGCGGAAGGCGTGGCATGGGTGGGGGGGGGAGGGTTCCTCATTGATCCAACCTGCCCCCTCCAACCGTCCCCAGCCAAACATTGCCATGGGGAGAGAGGGGGGCTGAACCTATCCGCCACCTCCTCCTTCCACTTACTCGTTTCTGCATTCCTTCCTTCGTTTCAAACCCGACCCCTCCACACACGCACCCTAAACCTGGCTGCAACTGATACCCTGATGTTCCCAGAGACCTGATTCCCAGCCCCCACTCCCGCTCTAACTACTAGACCCCACTCCCCTCCCAAAGCTGGGAATAGAACCCAGGAGTCCTGACTCCCAGCCCCACTCCTAACCACTAAATGCCCGCACCCCGTATTGCCCCCTCCCCGTTTGCACTCTAATGCAAAGTCCCCCCCGCCACGACTAAGAAAATTCCCCAGGAAAGCAAGGACGCCTCTCCCCATTAAGAGGTGTCCTGGGTGGGGCCTGGGGTGGGGTGTGGGGGAATCCTCCCCCATGCTACTCAGCCCCCGCTCGGCATGCAGCTCCTTCCCCGACAGGGTTAAGCACCCCGGGCTCGGCTCGGCAGCCGGCCCACGCAGCTGAAATACTTAAACAGACGCAGATGGGAGTTCGGGCTCTTACAGGAAACAACCCCCCGCCCCCCCTTTCCCCTCCCCCACCCTGAGAATAGAGCTGGGGGGGCAGGGTGGCCCAGAGCCAGCCCTGGCTGCAAACCGAATGCGCCACGCAAACCAAGCTCCCGGCCCCGAGACGCTTCGTTCGCTGCCCCCGCTAGCAAACTGCTGGGGCGTCCCGCCCCCACCCAGCAAAGCGCCTGGATCCCCAGGGAAACAGCCCTGGGCTTTTTAGAGTGTGTGGGCGGGGGGGGGAGAGGGGGGAGGGGAGCTGAAAGGCAGGACTCCTGGGTTCTATTCCCAGCTCTGAAAGGAGAGTGGTGACTAATGGTTAGAGTGAGGGGGGCTGGAGCCAGGGCTGTTGGGTTCTGTTCCTGGCTCCGGGAGAGGGAGTGGGGCCAAGTTGTTAGATCTCACCACACGCAGGGTTGAAGGGGTTCCTCTTTAACCCCATTGTTACAGCAAAGGAGAAACTGAGGCACACCCGGCTGGATGGGTGAGGCCCCCGCATCTCCAAGGATGCTGAAAAGCTGGCCAGGGGGCAGAGCAGAGAAACAAGTATAGTTCAAAGAGGGAGAAAGGGTGGGGGGCAGCCCAGCCCCGCAGGTGGGGCACTGGAGTGAGAACTCACTGGACATTTTTCTAAAAGATCTGCTCTGGGAATTATCTGGGGGGCAGGTCTCTGGCCTGTGCCATCCAGAAGATCAGGCTCCATGATACTAATGGGCCCTTCCGGCCTTGGCATCTCTGACTCTATGAACAAGCCACACCCCCCTCTGGGACTCAGTTTCCTCTCCCTGCCCTTTGTCTGGGAACTCTTTGAGGGCAGGGACTGTCGCTTATTCTGTGTCTGTGAAGTACCTGGCAGGATGGGGCCCTCAGTGTTTCATTTCAACTTTATCGTCATTTGGGCTTGACTTTTAGATTGCATTAAAATATTAAATCTACCATACTCACCATTCGCTATAACATATACACATGAAAGATACTGTATGTACACACATCTCATTAAATAGATAGAAATATAATATTACACTTCATATTTTAACATCAACTAAAAGACAAAACATAATGAATTGAAACATTAATGTCAAAATTAAACATTTCTTGGCACTGTCAAAACGAAACGTTTCGACTTTTCCCTGTGAAAACGTCACTGAAAGTGACTGGTGCCACAAAACGTTTCAACCTTTCGATGGAAAAACTCTTCCATCGAAAATTCTTCTACCAGGTTCTGTCCCAACGTAGGTTGCGTCCGCCCAGGGCAGGAGGGCTCCCTACGTAAAGGATGTGGGAGATCTCGTGCCATCACCTTTTCCATGAGCGTTTGCACAGCAGCCGGGAGCGTTTGCGAAAATGTCTCTGATCCCGAAAGTTTCACCAATTAAAAGACCCGGGAAATTCCCCCATGCAAAAATAAAAAACTTTGTGAACTTTGAGAGAGTTGTTTGAGTCAAAGCAAACCATCAAAACCGTTCACTCCCTCATTTAGCTCAAGGTTCCTTCCCGCTCCTAGAAAATTTTGACTTTTGGGGCAAAATCTTGAATTTCGGCCAGAGACTAAAATATTTCAAGTCAGTAGTCCTAATTCAGGTACCTTATGATCTCATTCTCTATGGGCCAGGCTCTTTGGTTGGACTACATCTCCCATGATGCACCACTTTCTCCTCTCTTAGTGAGGCCATGCTGCATCATGGGAGATCTAGATCCAGAGGTTGCAGGTTTAATCTCCACATGGGGGTCACTGTTACCAAAGTTGCAGGGAACTCAGAAATCAACTCAATACCCCCAGTAAGTCCCTCTCCCGATCATCTCCCACCATTCTCTCCCTGACCAGTGGGCGCTAGGAGACAGCAGACTCACCTGTTAAACTCATAGATGTCTTCGATGTTGCAGAACAAAGTGCTCACTTGCTCAGGTTTGAGGGGCAGGTGTCCACTGTCTATGATACAGCCAAGATAATCCTGCAAAGCAGGAATGGGTCAGAACCTTGCGTTCCCGGAACGCCTCTCCTCCCGCAAAGCACTTTGCGGACATCACCAGGCAACACTGCATCATCATTTCATCCACGGTGCCAATGGTGGCTGTGAGGTGGGGCATGGCAGCTGTTTATACAGGGATTACTCATCCCAGCACTGAGATGCATCCACCTCTGGGGTGGAGCCTGGCAGCAGATTATACAAGGACGCCTCACTCAGCACTGAGATGTGCCCACTTCTGGGGTGGGCCAGGGCAGTTGTTTATACAGGGGTCATTCCCCCAGCACCGAAGTGCAACCATCTCTGGGGCAGCTGTACAGGGACCACTCACCCCCGGATGAAATGCGACTGACCTGGGGTGGGGCATGGCAGTTGCTTAACAGCCACACAGCAACATTGCTCCGGGATTACACACCCAACACGGAAATGCAGAAACCTCTGAGGTGGAGCACAGCAGCTGTTTATACAGGAATCCCTCGCCCAACACCAAAATGCAGCCACCTCTGGCAATTGGGCTCGGTAGCTCTTTATAAAGTTGTCCCTCACCCAGCACTGAGATGCAGCCACCTCTGGGGTGGAGCATGGCAGCTGTTTATACAGAGATCTCTCACCAATGAGATACTGCACTGGCTCAGCCATGGGGAGAGACCATGGTGCATCGTGGGAGATGGAGTCTGGCCTGGTTCGCCAGTCTCTCTCAAGGTGGACAAATGTTGCCAGCGGCTGGAATCAAGGGGCGCCATCATTCCCTTGACTGAAGGGGCAGAAAGAGCCGAGCTGAAATCTACATGCAGCACAGACCGGGGCTCCTTTCCCTCCAGAAGGCAACATGTTTAGGGGGTGGGACTGGAAGCCAGGACGCCTGGATTCCATCCCCAGCTCTAGGAAGGCGTGTGGTATAATGATCAGATGAGGAGTCAGGACTCCTGGGTTCTTTCCCAGCTCTGGGAGGAGCGGGTGGCTAAGGACTATGGGATGGGGAGGGGCCTGAGACTCAGGACTCCTGGGTTCTTTCCCAGCTCTGGGAGGAGCGGGTGGTGTAAGGACTACCGGAGGGGGAGGAGCCTGAGAGTCAGGACTCCTGGGTTTTTCCCCAACTCTAGGAGTAGGGTGCGGTGTAAAGATTAGAGGGGAGGGCGGAAAGGGGGCAAGACTCCTGGGATCTATCTTTAGCTCTAGGAGGGGGATGTGCGGTTTGATGATCAGAGCAGAGGCCAGGACTCCTGGGTCCCTTTCCCACCCGCTCTGCGCCTCGGTTTCCCCGAGTGAAATAACATTTCCTTCCACCCCCTGAGCATCACTGTGCTGAACGTCCCAGCACTCGCCCACCCACCAAATGCTGTTAATAAACCCGGAAAGAGCTCTGCTGAGACAATCTGTTAAATCATTCTCATTTCTGTGCCAGTGACCTTTCTCTAGCTTCCCCGCCGTAGCCAGAAAAACCCGCCTCTCCACGCGGAGACTCAGCGCTGGCCAGGACCCAGCATGGCTCCAGCTGATTCACAAAAGCCCGAGAATGCAGGGACCTGCCCCGAGCACAAGCCGCGCAACTGAGATTTCTGAATCCAGGAGTCCTGGCTCCCCCCGAGCCCTAACCACTAGGTTCCCCTCCCAGAGCCGGCAATAGAACCCAGGAGTCCTGGCGCCCAGCCCCCCTTGTTCTAACCCCTGCTCTGGGAGGGGATTGGGGTCTAGTGGTTAGAGCAGGGGGGCTGGGAGTCAGGACTCCTGGGTTCTGATGGCGAATGGTTAAAACCAAGTCCTGGGAGGACATTGGTCCAGCACAGAGTCCAAGGGGCCCATGATCCGAGTCCAGCTCTGGGATGAGCCGTTTGCTGCCGGGGCTGGAGTTACTGGGGAGCCGGCTGCAGGCCTGGAGCCAGGCTCCCGGCAGAGGCTCCCCGCCCCCTCCCGCCAGAGCTCGCATTTCAGCCCTTCCTGCTGGAGGAATAACTGGGATTCTTTGGGCCTCTCTCGGGGCAGACGGGGCCTGTCTGACCCGCCAGGGCAGGTGCTGATCCACTGACACTCGCGAGGCAGCTGAGCAGCAAATTACACCCCGCACACACACACCCCCTCAAATTGTTATGATGCTCACAAAGGTCCCTCCGGGATCACCTCTGAGCTGAGACAGCGCTGCTGAGTGGCCAGGGGGTTGGGCTAGGCCTCAGGAGTCCTGGGTCCTACTCCTGGCTCCGCCCCAGATTTGCCATGTGACGCTGGGGAAGTCACAAGCCCTCTTTATGACTCAGTTTCCCCACCCTTTGTCTGATTAGACAAGAAGCCCTTTGGGGCAGAGCCTGTCTGGGCAGCACCCGGCGCCAAGAGGCCTCTATCTCGGGTGGGGCCTATAGCTGCTACTGGAAAATCAATGGCAATTCATATTGTTTCTTAATTATATGCATTAGCATAAAGAAACCCATAGCAAAATCAGGGCCCCATTAACTTGGGTGCTATACCTGCTCCCCACAACGTTCCCTGCTGGGAGATCCCAGGACTGGAGCAGCCAGGGGCTCCCCCGCAGCCAGTGCCCCGCCCCGCTCCCCACAGCGCCCCCTGCTGGACGAGTCTGGGGCTGGAGTAGCCGGCCGCTCCCTTTGCTCACCTCCACGATGCTCCTCAGGTCCCGGACGTAAGCCTGCTCCGTCTCCACAATCTCCAGCACCACCCGGTCCAGTTGGGACAGCTTGACCCGCCGTTCCCTGGCTCTGGCAGGCCCGGGGGACCAGGCACCACCACGCTTGGCCCCCCCCGGGGGCCGCTCGGCTCGGCCGACCCCTCCAGCAGCGCCACGGGGGTGAGGTCGAGGCTGATGTCGCTGCCGTTCTGCTGGGCGTCGGGGGGGTAGCCGGCGGGGCAGCCCCCACCCAAGGCCCCGCTGCTGCCGAAGGCGCTCTGGCTGTCGGGCAGGGAGGCGGAGGAGGCAGAGGAGCTGAGGCTGACGGGCCGCTCGCCGTCCGAGCACACCGTGTTGACCGAGGTGCAGCTGCCCGAGATGGTGGCGGCAGCCATACCGCCGGCGATCCCGCTCAGCGAGGACACGGAGGATGGTCTGGCGACCACTGGGGAGGGAAAGCGAGACGGACAGCTTAGCGGCGCCCACCCTGCTGGGAGATTCCCCATCCCGCAGCGCCCCCTGCTGGGAGAGGCTGGGACTGGAGTAGCCGGGAGTTCCCCTTACAGCCAAGGCTCCTGCCCCACTCCCCACGGCACCCCCTGCTGGGAGAAGCCAGGGCAGGAGTTCCTGGATTCGCCACCCTGCTCCTGGAGGGGAGTAGGGTCTACTAGTCAGAGCAGAGAGGTGAGTCTGGACTCCTGGGTTCCCCCCAACCCCGAGCTCTGTCCCTGGGTGACGTTGGGCAAGCCTCGCGCCCCCCACCCCATGCCTCAGTTTCTCCTTCTGTGTAAGAGGTACCATAACACCCACCTCCCTCACCACTGAGGGGCGCGCGCGTGAGGGTGGCTAAACTCATTTGTGCCTGCAGAGCTCCTCCGACGGGATACAACGGGGGAGCCAAAGGGCCACTGCATTGATGCCCAGGGCTGAGGCAGATTTCCCCATGCCCGCGAGCAGCGGCCACGGCTGGCGCATCAAGGGATCGATTCCTCCCCCCTCCACCTCTGTGGCTCTCCGGCCCAGCGTGGCTAGGAACGGCCATAGCTCTCTCTATTCAGCCTTTCTCAGGCTGAGTCTCCTGCACTAATAGGAGACAGGTGCACCCCACGAGCCGGGGGGGGGGGGGTGTCCTTTCCAGTCCTACTGTCCCGCCAACCCAGACCCCGATAAGCCTGGCTACATTGGATGCCCCCAGCACCCTCCCCTGCATCTTGCAAACTCCCCCATGCCCGCGATGAGCCATCGCCCCGGAGCGGCAACCACTTTGAGTTCAACACGCCACCCCCCACTTCGCCTCGTCACCTCCAATCCCTGCTCCGTGGGGTTTTGCCCCCATCCGACGTGGCGACGCCAGGGGGACCCGTCCCCAGCTGCACTTCACGCTCCCCCCGCCAGCCCCGGCTCCAAGAGCTTCCTCGCCCGCCTTGCACCTTCAAGGCTGTGGTTTGTGTTGCATTGTGGGAGGAGAGGCTTTGCGCACACTGAGCTCAGCCGCTCAGGAAAAGGTTTGCACAAAAATACACATTAGAGACGGGGCCCTGGATTCAGACAGCCCCGGGGCAGGTCCTGTGGCATGAGCCCATGTCTCTCATCTCTCTTTATGTGTTATATACACGGATCCCTGTCTGCATGCACACCCCCACACCCCCCCACCACTAAGCACACACCTCTGCGTGCACCCACCCACCCACACCTCCGTGCTTGCACACAGCTCAATGCACACAACTCTCTATGCACACACCCCCCCTCCTGTGTGCACACATGCACACCCCTTGCACATGCGCACGCCCCCTCTGGGCATGCACACCCCACTGTACCCACACAGCCCTCTAGGCACCCCGATGTGCACACCCAGACACACACACCATGCGTTTGTGCACAGATGAACTTTTCCCCTGCACTCACCCACCACTCATGCACGCCCCTGGTGCATGCCCACGCCACCACGCACATATTACACAAGCCCACCACCGGTTAAGCACACGGATGCACAAATGCCTCTATGCACACATCTCCCTATACGTGTACACGGCCGCCCCAGCCACATGCACACGTGCACTCACCCCACGCGCACGCAATTCAAGGCCACTCCGTGCACGCACCCCCCACCCCTCCATGCACGCACACACGCGTCCCAACCCAGCACTGTGCACATGCGCCGGTGAACAAACACCTCTCGGCATGCACGGCCCCCCCTCTCCATGCACAGAGAACTATGGAGAATTACGCACACACACCCAGAGTGGATTTGAACAGCCGTGGGGAGTGGCACACAGACAGCAGTATAACAATACCTCCGCAGCGCTCATCATCGGCTGATCTCAGAGCGCTCCGTTCTACTGATGGAGAAACTGAGGCACAGAAAGGGGAAGGGACTTCCTCAAAGGCCCCCAGCAACAGAGCCGGGAATGGAGCCCGGGTCTCCTGAACACCAGTCCAGCGCACTATCCACAAGGCAACACTGCCTGCCATCTATGGTGGCACAAATATGCAGACCCTTCACCCTCCCTCATTGCTCATGCTCCAAGGAGGGGTCAGTAGGAACACAACTCTGGCAGCAGGAGGCCTGGGGTCGGGGTCTGCTGGCCCCATGGACTCCAATGGAGCGACGCCCGTTGACACCAGCCAGGGAACTGGCCCCTCCTGACAGTTTACATCTCTCTGGCCTTTTCCGTTGCAGCCAGCGAGCAGGTGATTCAAAACGAGCAGCAGCCACAGAGAGGAACCGACTGCAAGCGACACTTCGGCGGAAGGAAGTGGAACCTGCACAGATCGCAGGAAACGGGCGGGACACCGGGGGGCGCCAGCACTGCCTGGCCATCTCCGTGCGCCCTGGCATCGGGCCTCAGTTTCCCCTTTAAAAGCCCCCACCCTGATTCTTTCCAATGGGGGGGGGAGGGTCCAGCTTCAATGCAGACAGGTTGGATGGGGTTCTCTGCTTGTCTCTTGTCAGTTTCAACGGCAGGGGAAGGGTTAAATTCAATCCCTTAAAGGGCCCATCCACCCCCCCACCCACCAGGCTCCTCTTGCCAAGACTGCCAGGAATGCGGAAGCCCTTGTAGGACCTGTTTGCTTTTGTCTCCCCATTGGGGGCCTCCTCGATCCAACCGGCTGCATGAAGCCTGGACGTTTATTATTCTAACCCCGGCCCACCACTCACTGGAAGGGAGGCGGGTGGGACTGGCCGATGCCCGGCCCGGCATGGAGTCCATGACTCCAGCTTTGACCCTCCTGCCCCATCACTGCATCCCCAGTCGCCTCCTCCTCTGGCTGCCCCATTCGGGCCGGGATCCGCATCTTTGGGCCTGAGAGTCAGGCCCGCCCCAGTCGCTGAGCTCTGGGCTGGGGTGTGGGGAGGTCGCTTTGATTCCCTTTGCTCTATGTGTTCTGGGTCCTGCCTGACCTCCAGTGTCAGGCAGAGCAGCCCCTGGGCTGCTCTAACTCACCCCCCATCCACCCGGAGCCCCTCTCTTCCTCATCTGAGCTAGGATTGGCCCCTTCCCTCTGCTGGGGTGGGTTACTCAGCTCTGAAAAGTGGGCTGCAGCCTGGGTGCAACGGAAAACCCCATCCGCTGCTGCCGTTATTATTCAGTTCTGTTTACGTAGGGCCACCCCTGAGCACGGGGATCTGCAGGCGCAGCTGGGAGATGCTCATCCTCCGAGTGGACAAAACACAGGGCAGGTTTCAAGAAGGGCTTTGAAGAAGGCAGGGGGTGGTAGTGGGTTAGGGATGGGGAGATCGTTCAGGGGCTGCAGGGAAGAGGGAATGAAAAAGAGCGTGGGAAGAAGAGAGACAAAGAGCCCGTGAAGCAACTCACAATCACTGTGCCCCCATCTGACAGATGGGGAAACTGAGGCAAGTGGTGGGGGCAGGCGCGGGGATTTGCCCAAGGTCAGCCAGCAAATCGGTGGCAAAGCTGGGAATAAAACCCAGGAGTCCTGGCTCCCAGGCCCCCCCACTCTAACCCATTAAACCCTCCTCCCCTCCCACAGCTGGGAAAAGAACCCAGCAGTCCAAACTCCCAATCCGCCCACTCTAGCTACTAGACCTCACTCCCCTCCCACACCGGAGAATAGGACCCAGGAGTCCTGCCTCCCCTTCTCCGCTCCGTGCAGTAACCCATCCCCTCTGCGGGCGGGGCAGACCGTCTCATCAGCCCGGGAGCTCTGCGTCCAGCCCCCACAGGCGAGGCTGCCCCTTGGGGGGGGGGGGGGTCACATCACGTGTGGGCCCCAGGCACCAACCTTGATTGCCTGCTTTCTTGTTGCTGCCCCGACGAGCTCCCTCAGGCATGGTGCTGTGGTCTCCGACGGACGTCCTGCACAGAGAGGGAGACAATACCGAGTCACACATCATCCTGGGCCACGTCCCCTGCAGACTGTTCTCCGGAGAAGGGCAGACATAGGATCTGTCTTTAAAAAGGGGACCAAATAGGACCAGGGGATTACAGACCAGCCAGCCTAACTCTGAAACCTGGGAAGATACCAGAACCAATTATTAAACAATTAATTTGCAAACACCTAGAGGATAACGGGGTGATAAGCAATAGCCAGCCTGGCTTTGTCAAGAGCAAATCATCCCAAACCCACCTAATTCCTTTCTTCGGCAGGGTCGTTGGCCGAGTGGGAAGCTGTAGACATGAAATCGCTTGATTTGACTAAGGCTTTTGACACAGTCCCGCATGACAGTCTCACAGGCAAATGAGGGAACCGTGGGTCTTCTCGATCAAATCGCTGTCCGGTGGGCGCACAACTGGTGGAAAGACCGAACTCAAAAAGGAGTAATCAACAGGTCACTGTCAAAGTGGGAGGGCGTAGTGGGTGCCACAGGGGTCAGTCCTGGGCCCGGCACTGGTCAATATTTTCCTCAGTGACTCGGATAATGGAGCGGAGACTCCTGGTTATACAAGCTGCAGATGACACCAAGCTGGGAGGGGTGCTGCACACTTTGCAGGGCAGGATTAGAATTGAAAATGACCAGGACAAATCGGAGACTCGGTCTGAAATCTACAGGATGAACTTCAATAAAGACAAGTGCAAAGAACGTCACGTTGGAAGGAAAAATCAGATGGAAAATGGGGAATAACCGGCTAGGGGGTCGTGCTGCCGGAAAGGATCTGGGCGTTGGAGTGGATCACAAACTGAATATGAGTCAACAAGGAGAAGCAGTTGCAAAAAAAGCTAGCATCATTCTGGGTGTGTTAACAGGAGCGTCGTACGCAAGACACGGGAGGTCACTGTCCTGCGCGACTCAGCACCGGTGAGGCTACGGTGTCCAGTTCTGGGCGCCGCGCTTTAGGAGAGACGTGGGCAAATTGGAGAGAGCCCAGAGGAGAGCCACAAAAAGGATCCAAGGTTTAGCAAACCTGCCCTAGGAGGAGAGGTTAAAAAACATGGGCAGGTTTAGTCTGTGGGAAAGAAGACTGAGGGGGGACCTGAGAACAATTAATATGTTAATTGGTGTTGTAAAGAGGACAGGGATCAGCTGTTCTCCACGTCCACTGGAGGCAGAACAAGACGCAATGGGCTTAATCCGCAGCGAGGGAGATTGAGGTGAGATATCAGGACAAACTTTCCAGCTCTCCGGGGAGTGAAGCTCTCGAACAGGCTCCCCAGAGAGGTCGTGGGATCCCCGTCACTGGAGGTTTTTAGGAACAGGCTGGACAAACCCCTGTTGGGACTGGTCTAGGTTTACATGGCCCTACCCCGGCGCAGGGGGCTGGACCTGATGACCTCCTGAAGTCCCTTCCAGTTGGACATTTCTCTGATACCGATTGGCTTGGACCCTGCTTAGCTTGCAAAACAAGTGCAGGGCCCCTCCCAGGCCTGGCAATAGGACCCAGGAGTCCTGATTCCCAGCCCTGTCTGCTCAAAGCACTAGACCCCACTCCCTGCCCAGAGCTGGGAACAAACCAGGAGTCTCACAACCGCTTTGCTCAAACCCACAGTCCACACTTGAGTAGAAACATTCAGGTTTGGATTGGATTTGATGATCTTCCTCGGGGGGAGGGGCCTGGGTCATTTACCAAATTTCAGTTGGATACCAGATTATTCTTCCCTCTCGCGCCTAACAGAAGCTCTCTGTAGGATGGTGGTTAAACATCCTCCATGCCTAACCCCAGAAACGGCTGCATTTCAGCATCAGGTGAGCAAGCCCTGTACGAACAGCTGCCATGCCTCACCCCAGAGCGGGCTGCATCTCGGCACTGCACGGGGAAGGCCTGCATGAACAGCTGCCCACCCCAGAGCGGGCTGCATCTCGGCACTGCCCGGGGAAGGCCTGCATGAACAGCTGCCCACCCCAGAGCGGGCTGCATCTCGGCACTGCACGGGGAAGGCCTGCATGAACAGCTGCCCACCCCAGAGGGGGCTGCATCTCGGCACTGCATGGAGAAAAACAACCCCGTGGGCACAACGGAAGCACGAGCCACTCAGTGCAAAATGCAGCGAGGCGCAGACCACTTTACGGACCCAGGGCAAGTGTCCCCCAGGCTCTGCCAACAGGACCAAGCCTCGTCTGACGCAAGCGGGGGAAGAACCCAAGGTGAATCCACGGCCTCACGGACACGGAGGCACCTTTCTGCTGCAGACTGGGACGTGCACTTGCCTGCGGGGGGCTGATCCTCGTGTCGCCCTTTCCCTGCACCGGTGCAAACGCAGCCTGGCTGAGCTGGGCGGCCTTTGGCTCTGCTGCAGATGTTGCTCCAGGGGCAGAGAGACAGGGAATCGGGCCCCTCTACGTGAGGCATAGCTGGGTCCCTCATGCCCGGTGCTCAGCCACTAACTGCCACTGCAACCAGGAAAGCTAGTTTAGCTGAGGAAGCAGTCTAGGCTGAGAACAAGGAGGGCATTAGCACTTCCCTTTGCCGCCCCGTGGAAGCATCATTAACCGCTGGTGCAAACTGTGCCGTGATGGTGCAACTCACACCATGCAAACTGCATTGCGTGGTCCTGGTGCAATTCCCCCCTCGTGCAAACTGCATTGCACAGCATTGCTGCAAGTCCCCCTCGTGCAAATTGCACTATGCTGGTGCTGCTGGGGCAACCCTTCTTGTACAAAATGCACTGCAGCCTGTTGGTGCAACCCCCTCTCGTGCAAACAGCGTGGTGTTGGTGCAACCCACACCGTGCAAATTCTGCTGCAACGTGCTGGGGCAATCCCTCCTCGTGCAAACTGTGCCGTGTGGGGTGGACGCCAACTCCCCCTCGTGCAAACTGGTGTGAACAGCGGCTTGCACCCTCCCAGCTTCCTAGGGGCAGACTGTGGGAGCTCATCGGAGGGGGCAGAGGCCCGTCAGGAACTGGCCTGCCACAAGGACTCTCACGCCTCCATGCCAATCAGCCGGGCCGCCGTCTGGCGGGGTTGGAACCAGGTCAGGATTGCCTGGCTGCCAGCCCCTGCGGAGGAGTGCATCACAATCATATCAAGCAGCCCTTCCGCCCTGCCACCCCCCCCGCATCCTTCCCACTTTCCTAGGGCTGCAAGAAGCTGGCGAAAGCTGGCACCGTTCATGCCTGCTGCCTGCCGGGCGGGCCTACGGCTTTAATTCCTGCTTCCCCCTATTCATCTCCATGGACCGGGACACAATCAACACAGGCCGGCAACACAATGCAGCCTATTCTGAGCCCAGTGACTTCAGCCCGACCAAAGCACTTCAAGCCTCAGGAGTTTCAACAATTATGCCTCACCTGCCACGGCCAGGAGCAACAGGTGCCCCCAATGCCCCGGCGATGGCTGGGAATTGATTAGGCAAGATACACCCCAATGATCCGAGCCGGTGACCCACGCCCCACCCAAACCCCAGAAACCCTCTGACCAATTGTGCAGCTGAGATCATGGCCCCCATCAGGCAGGCTGCAGCAGAGGGTCAGGTCTGGGGTTACAGGTGGAGCAACTATTAGGTATATTACGGTAGCACCTAGAGGTCCCAGCTAAGATTGGGGCCCCACCGTGCGGGGTGCTGCACAAAGCCAGAGCCAGCCCCGACCCAAAGAGCTTCCGGTCCGATCCCCTTCGGAAGCGGAATAAGCTGACTCGGAAAAAGGGACTTCACTTGGTGCATGGGGAGCTACTGTGTTTTTAGTTCACACCCTACCTTAATCCGGAGTAACTTCCCCACCCCATGGGGAAACTGAGGCCCAAAGAGACACGAAGGGCCCTAGATCCCATAGCGAGTCTGTGGCAGCGCCAGGAATACAACCCAGATCTCTTCAAGCCCAGCCCAGTGCAGTAACCAGAAAACCAACCTGATGGGGAGTCCCGTCTGCCTCAGTTTCCCCACCTATACAGGGAGCAGGAGGATCCTTCCCTGTCTCCCACGGCCGTTGTGAGGAGGGCAATCGCGATCCCTAGCGCTTTTCATCATAGAACCGTCGGGCTGGAAGGGACCCCGAGAGGTGATCGCGTCCAGCCCCCTGCGCTGAGGCCGGACCGAGTTAACCTAGACCAGCCCTGACAGGGGTTTTTCCAGCTGTTCTTAAAAGCCTCCAGTGACGGGGATCCCACAACCTCCCTTGGACGCCTGTTCCAGAGCTTCACTCCCCGGAGGGTTCTGAGTTCTCCCCAGTGCCCAGCACAGCAGTGTGGTTGCCTCCCTGTTAACTCCCGTTAGCAGTCACGTTTCAAAAGAACTTTACTAAGGAGGTCAGCACCATTAGCCGCATTTGGGTAAACTGAGGCACGGAGGGGCCAGTGACTTTCCCAAAGTCACCCAGCGGAAAACACAACCCAGGTTTCCTGTGTCCCAGTCTAGCACTCAATCCACTAGGCCACGCTGCGCCTAGCACGACCCGCAACTCCTGATCAGGGTGGTACCACAAGACAAACAGCAACAGGAGAAGCAAGGGGGTTCAACGACCCGGGGAAGGGCGTGAGGCCCAGCTGCCTGCCAGCAGGGCGGCGGTGGAGGGGATGCCTGCTCTGTGCACAGAAACCAGGGTGGGTTTACACTCACTCCCAGCAGTTCCCTTGGGTCGGGTGCCAGAGTCGCATTCCTGAGCTAATTCCTCTTTCCAGATTCCCCCACCCAAATCCCCAGGCTTAAAACAGAAAGAGTGGGGGGAAATATCCCCTAATAAGGTCAAATGGGACACCCTCCATGGGCCACGTTCTTTCTGCCAGCGGCAGGCTTTGGAGCGGGAATCCAGTCACTGCCGCGTGCTCACTCTGGATTTCCGCTGGAGCGGCCGAGAGCAAACTTGGGCTTGGTTGGGAATCGGTTCTTGGGTCTTTGGTTTTCACGGACACCTTGGTCCTGGTTCTCAGTCATGCTCAGGTCCCCTTGTGAGGCTTTCCCACCCACAGGGGGCCTCCCTGGTCTGCCGGGAACTGGTGTAAGGGCCCTGCTCACAGCCCCGGAAGTAGGGGTCGATCAGGGCCGGAGCGCTTTGTACTGTGACTATTCTCTGCTCCCCAGGGCCCAGAAGGGGTGCAGCATGCGTTAGAGCAGCCCTGAGGCTGCACCAAGTGGACCAGAAAGGGCTCAAAATACAGGGAATGCAAAGGGGGCCCAAAGGAATCCTGTCATCCTTGCTCCAGGCTCCTAGGAGCTGCCCCCTATGGGCCCTGGGGGGCAAAGAACAGCCACAGCGCAGTGCGCTCTGGCCACGCCCCAAAGCTAAAACTGCATCTCTCTGGATATTGTACAGCACCTGCCATATTGTCACAGCTCCACTGTCAATGACAGTGACAAAGACGAAGCAAAACCCGTCCTCCCTATTGTTCCAAACAAAGAAACCCCAAGTGGAAGGATCGAATGCATAAAAAGAAGAGGGGGTGGCATGTGAAGATATTTGGTGCTTCCCATAAGGCCCTAGCTTCTGGAGTCATGGGATTTCTAATAAATCTAGCTTGCTTGAGTTTCTAGCCGTCATGTTTTCCGAGAAATCCTTGGAAACATGGACTGAGCATGACCCTAAGGATTACAAAAACCAGAAGGGAAGTAAAAAGAACCCCAACGTTATTGTTAGTTGGCGTTTCTACTTCTTTTACGAGGATCATTTGTCAGCCCCCAACCTAGACAGCCAGTGAGCTAGTTTTTATCTGGTCCCTAGATTTGTCCAGGTTGGGTGGCCCAACAGAAGTTAAAGATCCCACCGAGGAAGTGCTCTGCATCACTGGGACGCCCTCCCATCATCCCAAGGTGCAGTGCCCAGGCAAGGGGCTGTAACACAGCTATCATATTAAATATCAGATCAGAGTCCCCATGACATGTCTCCATGGCCCCGAACTGAACATCCTCAGAATCCGTGACAGGTTTCAGAGCAGCCACCGTGTTAGTCTGTATCCGCAAAAAGAACAGGAGGACTTGTGGCACCTTAGAGACGGACACATTCATTAGAGCATAAGCTTTCCACGTCATCAGATGCATAGAATGGAACATCCAGTACGAAGATATGTATCTACATACAGAGAAGGTGGGAGTTGCCATACAAACTGTAAGAGGCTAATTAATTAAGATGAGCTATTATCAGCCGGCGAAAAAAACTCTCTACGCAAAAGAATAAATGGACACAAATCTGACATCAGGAATCATAACGTTCAAAAACCGGTAGGAGAACACGTCA